CGAGGGGGGGATGGATGCCAGGGGTTCAGGAGCAGAGGCAAGGGCAAGGGAGGAAACAGAGAGTGAGGGGGAGGAGGCAGAAGAGAAAATGAGTGATGACGACGACCCGAGATCTCCGAGTCTTTCCAGTGAATCAGACGATTCACAGAAAGGAGCACCAGTGGCCAGGGCAAGGGGGGAGACTAGGGGGACACCCCAGGAAGAAAGGGCCAGAGGGGGCTCAGAGGGGAGCAGTGGGAAATCGGGACCAGCGCCACCCACAGAGAGCAGGGGAGAGGAAGGGCGTCAGGTATCAAGCGCTGGTAGCTCACAACAGGAGGGAGGGCACGAGTCAGGAGTGGCCACACCTCCATCGGGGAGCGAAGAAACGGTCAGACGGAAAGTGGAAGGTTGGGCGCGCACGCCAAGTTCAAATGCACAGGAAGGTGGCGCAGTGAGCAGCCCGGAAAGGGAGCCAGGTCCTAAAGCCCGACGCAAGGAGACAGAAGGGTCCGGGGGGTCAGCGTCAGAAGAGTCCCGGAAGGAAGAGACCCCGGGGGGCAGAGGGACCCAGAGAAGAACAGTCAGGCGGAAAAGGTGGAGTAAGGCTAGGGTATTAAGTTGGTGTACAGGGGGCGGAGACTCAGACGGAGCTTCGCCGGTCTAGCCCTTAAGACGTAGAGTTGCGCGCAGCAGCTTGAGAATGGAAACTGTAACTCAATAAAAGACTTTTACAAGTGACCGCTGGCTAGCGTGATCCTCTGTGAGCTAGGATCTGGAAGCAGCTCTGACATATGATAAAACATTTCTTTTAAAAAAAACACTACTTCCTCAGTTTTTATATTGGGATACAACATTTGTAGTGTAGCCTTTTTAATCCATGGGTAGGAATAAGTATAAATGTGAGGAAAGGTGACCACAGAAGCTGGAAGTCTACTTTTGTTTGACCTACTGACTATTGTGTAGTTGGTATTATCATGTCTTCATTATCAGGAGTTTCTAAACTTTCTGGAGTCACCATCAGTGTGTGTAAAATAGTAAAATCAGAGACGTACATAGGCTCCCTTGTGCCCTAGGCAAGGAGCTGTATCGGCACACACACAAATTGTCTCTTGCTACCTTGGCAATCGCCAGCTCTCTCCATCTTTCTTCACAATTTTTGTGGGGGCCAACCTAACCAACCTCTACGTACGTAGGCACCTGAGGAAAATACACTGAGTGCTGAAAAATGTAATTCTGTTTTAGCTCGTGGCAATTTTTGTTTCTAAAAGGTGAAAGATTTATATGATCTGGAGAGAAACCAGAGTATCCAATTTTTGCTTTTAAAGGCAGTGCTAACCATTGCCAGTCAAAGGGAGTTGATACACTGGGCCGTTAATTAAACTCTCAGGCTTGTGAAGCTTGTCAGCTACTGCTTATTAAACTGCAGCACAAGAGTTTCTGTTCAGGCAAGATTGCTCTGAGATTTCAAAGTACAGTAGCTCTTGTGGGCCTTCTTTTAGGCCTTCTAGATTCTTACTGTTTGAGCATCTATATGTGGAAGCAGTTGGAGGGAAAGTGCTAGATGACAGGCTACAAGGCCCAGCTCTATTATAATTTTTGGTGTCCCAACTTATTTTATTTTTAAGGTGCAGCTCCAGCCCTCATGAGTGTAGAAAAATTGGTGCTAGCCAAGTACACCTAATGCATCTGAAGCTTGTCATATTTCTGAAAATTACGAGATTAAAGCACCTCTGTTTGGTTGCTCCCCCTTTCCCTCCATCACCATAAAACATTATCAAAACTAACATCTCAGTCCCAAAGCCAGAATTAGAGCTCAAATCTCTGGCCTAGAATTTAATCTGTAAACGGAGAGACATTGAGGAAATGGAGGCAGGTTTTCCACATAAACACCCCACTATCAAAAATGACATCCAGAACCAAGGTGACCATAAAGATCTATTGGCCTTTCCTTGCATGACAAACCCTTTACGTACCATGCAGTTCTGCAGGAATCTCCTTGAAAGAGGCAGCCATCTTCTGGATCCTGCTCGAGCAGAAGCCTGGCCTTCTGCAAAAGCATCAGAATGAACACTTGTTTCCGTCAAGTTTAAGCAGGTTACTAACAAGGCGGCAGCTGCCGTGCTTCCTACCTCCTCCTCTTCACCTCAGGGTGCCTCTTCCTGTCTCCCACCCACCTCAAAACATACTTAATAAGAAAACAGGCAACAGGCAACAGGCAGCAGGCAAAAGTTATAAAAGCAAATTAGTTGAGCACAGCACTGAGTACCAGGGTGAGCTCTTGCTTATTCTATAATGTATCCAAGGAGCAAACAGCATTGTGTGAAACTGGCCCAGCTGAAGAAAAGTCCTGCAGAACTTGGGCAATAAGCACTAAAGATTATTTGGGCAATAAGCACTAAAGATTATTCTCTAGTTTTAACAGCCTGAGGGCAAACTGAAGGCTGCCGCTATTTACTGTTGGACCAGCAAAAACAGTGAGCCAACAAACTGATTAGACAAATTCATTATATGTAAGTGCTTCTATATCACAAAAGGAAAAGCAGTAGCCCTCCAGTTGTTGTTCGATTTACTATCTTACTATTCCTAGCTGCTGGCCTTGGTTGTTGAGAATTCAATAATATATAGAGGGCAACAGGTTTCCAATCCCTGATCAATAGTAGTGACTAACTGAACCTGCAACAAAATGTGTTATCAACTTCTAGCTGTAGTACTCTTCGTGTTCAAAAAATGCAGTGAACCACATGCTTCTTGAGGATGTTTTACATTAGAAGGAATTCAGGCAGGGCATTCCTCTCAGAATCATAGAACTGTAGAGTTGGAAGGGACCCTCAGGATCATCTAGTCCAACCCCCTGCAATGCAGGAATATGCAGCTGGTCCATACAGGGATTGAACCTGCAACCTTGAGTGTTATCAGCACCATGGTCTAACCAACTGAGCTATCCATTGAGCTGGGCCCTCATTTTTCCTTTCCAACACTAAATGTTTCTACTAAGCATGCTCAACCCGTTGGGCTAGTTTTTAGTCCCCTGGTTACTGTTATTTTAAATCAGCGTATTTCTAGCTTCCTCTAAGCCAGGGGTCAGCAACCTTCTTCAGCCGTCCCTTAGACCATGTGGTGGGCTGGACTATATTTTGGAAAAAAAGTAAATGAAAGAATTCCTATGCCCCACAAATAACCCATAGATGCATTTTAAATAAAAGGGCACATTCTACTCACATAAAAACACGCCGATTCCCAGGCCACCTGCGGGCCAGATTGAGAAAGCGATTGGGCTGCATCCGGCCCCCGGGCCTTAGGTTGCCTACCCCTGCTCTAAGCAGTTGATAATCCTGCTTCTCCATGGCCTCATACCTGTTGGCACTCACCCAAGTTCACTATTAGAAGTAATGATGGCTAAATGGAGCCCTCCTGGTTGAATGGCCTTTGAATACTGAATACCTGGGAATCAAAACTGCAAGAGCCCTTCATATCCTTATGAACTTCCCAGTAGCATGTTTTATTTCTAAATTTAAAATATTTCTATTCCAACTTCTATTATACAGTCCAAGGCAGCTAACCCAGGGGCTATAAAATAGAATAAAACCAACAACCAATGGTTGTCTATTATGGGAAATGGGATAGTCCATTTTTGAAGTTTCTAGGAAGCAAAAACAGGTTTATCAAGCCCTACATCATAGTGTGAGCGTGTGTGCCACAAGTTAAAGGTAAAGGGACCCCTGACAATTAGGTCCAGTCGTGGCCGATTCTGGGGTTGTGGAGCTCATCTCGCTTTATTGGCCAAGGGAGCTGGCGTACAGCTTCCGGGTCATGTGGCCAGCATGACTAAGCCGCTTCTGGCGAACCAGAGCAGCGCACGGAAACGTCGTTTACCTTCCCACCGGAGTGGTACCTATTTATCTACTCGCACTTTGATGTCCTTTCGAACTGCTAGGTTGGCAGGAGCAGGGATCGAGCAACGTGAGCTCACCCCGTCACAGGGATTCAAACCGCCGACCTTCTGATCGGCAAGTCCTAGGCTCTGTGGTTTAACCCACACGCCACCCGCATCCCATTTGTGTACCCTTGTGCAAGAGAAAAATGTTACATGTTCCCACTACGAGATAAGACTGGCTGTCCACAGCACATCTTTCTTTGCCATGTTAATAGCTATTCATGAAAAGTACTACCTAGAACCTCAGCCCTTGATAAGCCAATTTTCTATGTGCTGGAGCCTACACTTTTTTAGAACAGATGTATTAAAAATGCACTTATCTTAATTGGTACAATACAGAAAGTGCTGTTAGTAGTATAGCTCAGCTCTGATATTGGCCGTCACCATATTGCCACAAACATTTCTGAGAATGCATGAGAAGCACTTCAGCAACTGGGGAAAGCACTCTGGAAACGCCAAAGTCCAGTATAACAGCTATGCTGTTTATTACTTCTGCTTCAGCTATATCCTGCCATTCCATAAAGCTTTTTCACTACTTCCCCACCCCTTTGTTCTTTGGCAGTGCACAGCCTCCTCCAATCCCCATTGTGGAAAGCAATATTCCTCCTGCCATAGCAAACTGGGAGCCAGTGTGCCATCCCCCTGCCCCTTGAGGAGAGAGTCAGCAGGCCAAGTTTGGTTGAAAATAGGCCTTACATTTGATATTGTTAGGTCGACTATGCTTCAAAGAAAATGGAAGAGAAGAACTCAGAATCTTGTGCATGGATTCCAATTTGCAAGTACATTTTAAGCATCTTTTGTAGAAGTGATGTGCATGGCCCATTAATACAATGCATGAAAAAGCCAAAGGTGCCATTAACTGTGTGCTGTGTGATTAAAATGCATATGTAGTAAATAATAGTTATGATATATGGGAAAGCCCATTCTTCTTTAATGGGAAAATCTCCCCACTGAATGCAAACAGCTCAAAAAGGCAACATGTATTCACTTCCCCCTTCACTTAAAAGTGATTATAAACTTGTCTCCATCCTATTTTTCACACAACTTCTTGAGGCTCCAAGGAGTCAGAAAGCATGCACACAGGTTCGTCATTATTATTTATTAGCTGTACAGCAGTATATTCTCCTTCCCAGAGTCCAAACCCCATTATGTATTTTTATAACATTTTATCTCATGTTGGTTTCCTAAAATAATGAAAAATATCACACAGTACAGCTAAGTACAAAAATGCATCAACCTAGAATCAGATAGCTAACCTGATAGCTCTCTTAAAAGCGATACATAGAAGAAAATTCGTTTTGAAATCAGCAAGACTGAGGCTCTATAAAAAGCTTACGTAGTTTTAACATGTGATGGTTCATATACAGGCATCATTTTGTATTTTCACATTATTCTTCTTTTTAATTAAAAACCCCAAATCTTTTAATTAATGACCTAGTATGATTTCTTGCCCTAGGTTTCAAGGGCTGGGAAGCCCCATACAAATTAACACCTTGGCTTTCAACACAGAATTCATAAACACAAAAAAGTGAGCAAAGAAAATTGAGTTGTGAAAACCTGAAACTCAAAAGGGAGTTTAAGTGACACGTTTCAAGACCAAGTCTATATATTTAGAAACAGAAATGGGGTGTGTAGTTCTATCATTACACTTGGCTAGCACTCTTCCACTAATTTGATAGGTTCCAATATTTAATTCGGGACCAATTCCTGCATAATTCATTTTTGTAAGAGTTTTAAAACAGGGGTGGGGAACTTGCAGTCCTCCAAATGCTGTCTGACTCCAACTCCCATCAGTGCCAGAGACAATGGTCAGAGATGAGGGGAACCGTAATCGAGCAACATTTAGAGGGCACCATGTTAGCTACCACTGGTTTAAAATAACAGGGTTCTCTTCTTTAAACTGCATCCCCCCACAGACCTCTTAATTAAATGGAAAAAAAGATTAAAATGTAAAAAAAAGTTATTTACAAGCTTGATCATTACAGAGATGCCCTGCAGAAAGCAAAGCATCTGGGAGGAAAGACACCAGCTGGAGCATGCCAAACCTACATTGCTGACGCAGAGCCAGTCAGTGGAAGGGTGGAGTTGGTGGGTGGGTGAGGGGGGAAAGCAAAAACTAAAATGCAATAAAAGTTTTACAACCCTCCTGAGTTCTGCATTTACATTTAAAAACCTCTATAGAGCAAAATGAGGCCAGAGGGCTTCAAGGAACGCGAAAGCAGATCCAGAGCAGTTAGTGTGGGCTCGAGTCCGGGCTTCCATGTTTTCCACGTTACGTGCAAAGGCTGTCCGTGGCCTGTCACTACAATGCAGTCCAGAGTTAACTGGATCCAGCGACCTGCAGGAGACCCCTGGGGACTCAAAAATATCCCCACGTTCCATGATCCGGTTATAGGCTAACATTAAACAGAGAGAGTTCTAGGTAAATCACTTTCTAACATCATTTGAAGTTTTGTTTCCCGAGTTGTTTGGTAAAATGGTCTAAAAATGATGCATTTCCCAAAGCCAAAAATAAGGTAAAAAGGAAAATAAAAATAAAAGGGATCGAGCCGCTTCAAAAGAGCCCAGGCCAGTTCAGTCAAGAGCATAACTCTTCCTCCATCACCGGTCCATCATGCTAAGAATCATCTCTGGGGTGAGGTCTCCATTGGGTGCTTCCACCGCAGCTGGCTGAGCTCCTGCTGTAGCTGCTACAGTCTCTGCTTCAGGCTCCTTCTTGACTTCCACTATAATGTTTTCAATTGCACCAGTGTTCTGGTCTTCCACCTGAATGATTGCTGTTGCTATCAAATAAGAACAGGGTAAAAGTCAGACTCTCTCTGGGGATACCACTTCACAGTATCTGAACACTAGGCACAATAACCATAGCTAAGGCTGTGTATATGTGATTCTCTGGCAGTGCAGTGTGTGGCGGAGAATTGTACAAACTCATAGCTGGACAACAGTGACTAGCTAAGGCCTTTCTAATTTTAACAATTCCAAGAGTGATGGCAAAATTGGTCTCTGACCAATGTGGCTTCAAATTGGTATGTTTTTGATGGCTGCAGGGAGAGGGAAAATGTGTGTCAGGCTGAGCATGAATATACAGCTGAGTCCTGCCCATTGAATGCCATCACAGGAAATGTACTCTGACATGTATTACTCACACATCTTTAAGTTGCATTTGGAGAGAAAGAATAATTTTTTTTAGGCTGACTGCCTAAGGTTATAAAAATTCACAGTCATCATAGAAAGCTGACTTTTATCAAATCAGGCCATTGGTCCTTCTGACCCAGTCAGATGGGGCAGGGTATTAAATTATTTTATTATTATTATTACACTTACTGGCAGGGGCTGTCTAGGGTTTTGGAGCGGGGATTCATTCCCCAGCCCTACTTGGAGATGTCAGCAACTGAACTGGGATCATCTGCATACAAGGAATGTGCTGCTCACTGAGTTACGGTGTTTTTTCCTGTGGCTGCACAAGCTTCTGAGAAGAGGTTTTCATTACCTCCTGAGATGGAATGTACGGCATCTTGGTTTCATAAATGTTTCTGTTCCAACCCCCGATTTCTGAAATTTCTAGAAATCTGAACAAGAGTTCAGCCATTAACAATACCAAGATGCTCATAAATATCCAATTCAGGGAGACTGACCAATTAGATTTGGTCATGCAAGTTCAATCTTAGTTGAGCAGAGTGTTAAGAACTAGCCATCCTGACCCTACATGTGCAAATGCTTCACCAAGAATCTAGTATTTTGTGCGAATTCCCAAGACATTTGTGTACTCTGCCCCTCACAAGTTTCTAGACCTGAAAATATGTTAAGTGCTGATATCCGATTTCCCACTGATTGCCAGTCATACTTGTCTCTTTTATAATGCACCTTGCAAAAGCTTGCAACCCCGCCCCCCCAAAAAAAAACCTATGCACAATCTTCCTTTTTTCCATGGCCCAGGACTTACGCTGGGGCTGTTTTGGTTGATTGGCTTTGCCTGGCGGCCTTCCTCTTCGCTTCTTAGCCGGTGGTGGTGCTGGAACCACAGGTTCCACTTCTGGTTCAGCCTCTATTTCAACCGCCGTCTCCTCTTCTTCTTCATTATCATCCAATTCTGGCTCTGCATTTTCCTCTTCAATATTGAAAAAAAGAAAATGAAATCAGGGCATCTAACAATGAAAACAACAAAATGGGAACAGCTAATATGCTCCCCATAGGCAGTATTGCTATTTCAGGTTTTAATCAGGAATGAATGAAATGTAGAACTTTGAAGATGTCAGTACACCTCTCCACAATGAAATGGGAGGGGAGGATTTTTGACTGTACATGTGTGCTGGGGGTGGGGTGGAAGCAAGAAATTTCTTTTTATTAGCTATTCAGAATGCTCTTCAGTGGAATGAAGAAGCAGAATTTTGTTTTATTATTGTTTTTTAAAAAACATATTGCAAATAAATAAATTGCCTCCTAATGAATTTCATCATCATGTGTGGGATACTGAACTTCAAGGCGCTCTAATGACTTCCCTATTAACTTTATCCCGTCCTCCCCTTAAAATCTTCCAGAGCTGCTTCAAAAGATTCCTGGTGCCTTTTGTCCATGTGTCTTCTCACTTCCACTCACTGAGCTGTCCTGTGACCACTATGAGCAAGTGTACAGATGTGTACACACTTAGCATCTGGTTTGGGTCTTCTGTATATTTATCTTGCAAAGAAGTGCCTTCCCCACTGAACTGCATATTAGAAATGACTCCCCTGCTTTGCACTTGGAGGCACCTTCCAGCATCCCCCACCTTGACTTGGAACAGAACGGCATTGCAAGGGGTTGGACTAGATGACACTTGGGTCCCTTCCAACTCTACAATTCTATGATCCTATATAGGCTGTACGTAAAACAGGTGATGAGCCAGCGCAAAGGGAGGCAAAAATATCACCTCTACTGCCCTTTGTTGGCAGCTTAACACTAACATACTCATTCACACCCAAGATTTAGACCTGTTGTGGTGTGCCAGGTGGTAGGCAAAACAAATTTGGAAGCCAAAAGCTTGCATGTTGCCATTATTATTATTTATTACATGTTGATACCGCCCTATACTCTATAGCTGCAAGAAAAATTGCAGCTAGTAGTGCTTAAGTGACCATTGGCAAGTTATTCGTTATGAGCGACATGCAAGGCTTGGAAACTATAGAGCTGAATGAGAATATAATGCAGAGACTTGAGCATATAAGCAAGGTGAGGATGTCACAGCTGATTCAGAGAAAAGCTTACAGTTCTTACCACTATCAGAGGAGTCCTCTTTCTTAGAGCGCATCTTTCTCTTTCGCCCACGTTTCCCCTTCTTGGGCTCCCCTCCATTTTCTCCTTCGACTCCATCAGGACCTGTACAGTTATCTGCGTGTCTGGCCATGGTGTTCTGATTAGAAAAAGCCAGGTGAATGTTAAGACGTTGGCTGTATCAAATTAGAGCACTTGAATCCAGCATGACACACGCACCCCGATTTGTCCCCCAAACAAAAAAAATGATCTTATTTGCCAAAACTGGGGCTAAGCCCCAACATCAGAGGTAAGCTGTGATGATGAGCCAAATTTTAATTGGTACACTTTACTTCTTCCAATAATCCCACCCAAAGAGAACATACACACCAGCAATCATATGTTTGACATAGCTCCAAAGAGAGAACAGGAATCAGCAAGTGTATTTCGGTTTTGCAGCCCCTCCCATGACAAGTTACCATTCTGAAAGCGATACACATCCAGCAAAATGCCGTATGGGGATGGCTTTTTCTGTTTGACCTCACCAAGGCAGTTAGCAATATAGCACATCAAGGAAGCTGGAAGATCTATTAGTGCTCAACTTATTCTCTCAGGCACCAGTCTTACGCCCTGCTTCATGCAGCAACCTTGCCCCCAATCACTTACACGGCGTGTGAATGTTTTGCCACACTTGGAGCAAACGAAGGCAGCCGGAACAAAGTTTGGGTCGTGGTAGCGTTTGAAGTGCATGTCAAGCAGCTGCTTCTGGCGGAAGGTCTTATCGCAATGGCTACAGGCGTAAGGCTTTTCTCCAGTGTGGGTTCGCTTGTGCATAATCATGTGCCGTTCCTGGAAGGAACCAAGAACCAAGTCAGCAGGGGTGGGGGATAACTCTAGGGCAGGAGTAGGCAACCTGGTGCCCTCCAAATGTTCTTGGACCACAACTCCGATCAGCTGCAAACATGCTGATGCGAATTGTAATTCAACATCTGGTGGGCACTGTGTCGGTCTACATTATCCCACTTTATTATTTTGCATCCTCCCCCACCTGATCTGTGTGCCTCAACTGACCAGGGTGAGAACCACATTCTTAAACATTTACATATTCTTCACCTGTCGACATGCATAGTCACACTGGTCACACTTGAAACGCTTCTCGTTCTTGTGAGATTTCTGATGCTGGATGAGTGCATACCGCTCATGGAATACAGCATCACAGTAACGACACTTCTTGCCCTGCTCAATGTAGGAATGCTGCTTCCGCAAATGGACACCTGGTAAAGAGAAACAAGCCACATAAAGTGCTCTGATTTTACTGCATAGCCTGTGGAATACATCGAGGTGCTCATGCTTACTCCCTGGAGATTATATTAATGTTCAGCTGAATGGGCAAATTCCTCCCCTGTTATGCTAAGATAAATATTTTAGCCCACAGTGTCTAAGACTCCATGTCCTCTGTATTTGTTTTTCTGAATAGCATTGCTACTTTGTTTGAGCCTTCAAGGTACGGTGGGATTAAAAATATAAATCTGTTATTGTACACATGGAATTTTAGAGTTCTGGAATCTGATATTTGCTAGGCTTATTATAGTCTAAGCTCCCACTTTAGCAAGTAGTTATGTGGCCCTCAGAACCAAATAGAAAGAAAATCAGACCCACAAAGACAATCAAGTAACTGCATTTATACACTGTATTACTTCTGAGGAGCAAAAAACAGCTTATATGTGATTTTCAGGCAATCTCTCAACAAGGCAACTTTTGCAGGGCCAGACCTGCATAGCTTTAGCAGCCTTCAGCCTGTTCTCTAGACCATCAAACTAATATTAGTTGACCAGCCAACTAGCCTTTCCTCTGAGAAGTATGATCACCACCTCTTTTACTAGAATCTGGTACCTCAACCTCAAGCCTCATGGCACTCACCCAAGTCACTCTTCCGTGCAATAACAGTGTCACAGTGAGGGCAATGAAACTTGGCCACATTCTCTGTGTGCTTCTGCAGGATGTGCATCTTCATAGTCCCACTCTGGGTGAAGCGAGCGTGGCAAATGTAACACTCGTAGGGCTTCTCACCTTTCAGAAGAGAGGAGCAGTTAGCAAGAGAGGCTCATTTGCGGGCAGTAAACTAGACACAGCATCCCCTCAATCAAAGTCAAATTATGGTGCAAAGAATGCAAAGAAGAGAGATCTCTCAAATGTTGCATGGCAGATACAATGATATGTGGTTGAGTGCCAATATCTCCTTCTCTCCCAATTACAAAATATCCATCGCTCTTTGAAGCTGCTGTCAGGGAACTTCAAGTTTAGTGTTCAGTTAGAGGTTATTACACTTCCCTAACAGTTTGCAAAAAAGCAAGTACTGTACAATTTTTTAAAAAGTCTGTAAGGAATCTCACTTCTTGAAATGCTGATCCAAGCAGTGACAATGGTCATAGCAGCCTTTAAGAAAAGCCACTAGAATATTAAGTCAGACACCCCCTGCCCCATCCCACTGTTTCTGAGATTATGTAGAAATTGCACACAGGTTTTACATGCCAAAGGAGCAGCGTGCACAGAACTTCCAGTGTGTGCTGGCCTCTGTGCCACCTCTGCAAAATATGTACCAGAATGGGTCCTCATGTGCCTCTTCAGTTTGTAAGTGTCCCTGCTGGCGTAGCTGCACAAGCTGCACTGGAATGGCCGCTCTCCAGTGTGAGAGCGAATGTGGCGTTTCAACTTGCTCACCTGTAAGTTAAGAATACAGAGATGGGATTTGTACCATAAGAAGAAAGGGCTTTGCATTCACTGTCTTTTCACAAAAGAATCAGTGCTATTTTTACCTTTTGCATTTCTTGAATTGTAAGATGAGACATACAGAAAACAGAATGGCTATGGGGCTAAAAGCTTTCTGGGAGCCAAACAGTTGCTTATGGCCTGCCAATGTCATTTTTGATATTTCCACTCTGGGCAACAGACCTCCCCTACAAAACCAGAAACTGCATTTTTTTTTGGGGGGGGATAGTTCCAGGGGCACCTGGCTATACATGTTTTTGCATTTACATGTGGACGCCCCTAACAGAACCCTTGCATAAGATGCAAGTTACCTATTTAGGCACACTAAATATGTGGTCAAGAAACAAACAATATGACACAGGCTTTGTTAACTCCATATCCATTAAAGAAACCCAAAACCTCAAATGGGGGGGGGGGCATGGAGACAGGATAATACTGGTAGTTAAGTGGGTATGGCGTACCTACAACTAGAAAACTGGATTCAAAACGTACCTCCACGCTGGCATAGTCACACATGGAACACTTGAATGGCTTCTCGTGGGTGTGTTTGTAGCGGCGATGCCGAACTAACTCGCCACTTGTCACAAAGGCCATGTCACAGTCAGGGCACTTGTGAGGACGAGTACCTGAGAGATCCCAGAGACAAATATATATAAATATATATTAAAAAGGCTAAACAGATATTGGCTTCATCTGTAGGGAATAGGTTTGCCTTCTTAATTTAAAGGTGCATCAAAAATGGTCAAGAAAATCTCTATTTAAAAAGACTGATATTATTATTAAGTACACTGTTGCTATCATGCTAAGGGTCCGAATGCTTGAAAAAGCTAAGTATGGTACATGTGGTTAAGTAAGACTTATTTTCTATAGCATCCCAACTAGAAAAAAACCCAAGCCCTACCACCCAATGACATGGTAAGGAATGTGACTGTTCCACAGAGAAGCAATTGATGCAAGGCATTTTTATTTCAGTTATGCTTCTGCTTTATTGGAAGTTATGTTTTGGACTTTGTGGGGTGATCAAAATTATGCAGACTGGTGTTGACAGTGATGAAGCCAGTAATTCTCAGTGTTTCAAAAGGAAGTTTCCAGCCCTCATGGGCAAAAAAAGGAAACTTCAGAGTAGGACAAGGACTGGTTGGGACATCTGAAATGCTGAGGTGTCCAGATTGAAAAAGAATCCAGTCTGTCGCTTCAGTGTCAAATTCTTCCCCCATTCCTATGAGCCTCAACCTCTCTTCTGCAACCCCAAGCCTAGTGTTCAGTTAAGACACATTAGGATTCACTATAAAAATCCATTCAGGTCTTTTTGCATATACTGGTATGAGTTCTGGCTAACAAAGTTCTACTCAGAGTATACCAAATGAAATTAAAGGATGTAATTCAGTCACATCTTTTAATTTCAATGGGTATTCTCCAAGCAGAACTAACATTAAATACAGCCCTGTTTGCTTATTCGGTAGATTTAATCATGACACTTGCCTCTCATATCACAGAATCTAAAATTACTGGTAGACCAATATTAGCACAAGGGTGGCTTGAGTCTGTAGCTCCCACAAACCAAGAGGCAGGTGCCAGAAAAAATGCTTATGGGTTGGCAGCATCACCTAAACCACAGATGGGAAACTTGCCTGAAGCAGTCCCATTCTTCCATCACATTAGAAACATTCTTCCTTGTTTTTCTTGGCTTTTTACAGTCTTTCCCCTCTTTTTATATGCAGTGTCAGAAAAGCTGGAAGGGGCAGCATTTTATCTGATAAATATAAAACTTTTAAAAAACATTTTTCCTGGTCGTATGGCTCGGTGAAAGCCTGAGAACAAATTGCTAGGTTTCTGGCATATGCAGTGTGTGTTGTTTTTTTGTTTTTTTTGTATAGTCAGAAAGAAATTGCTTTCATTAGGTTTTTAAAACATTGGATATATTGGCCTGTTGTACTTAAAAATAATAATTCACTGCATACTTATTCATGCATCATCCTTTTACACCCAACAGCACTTACTCCTGAATAGACTTGCCTAAGTTTAGGGACTCTAGCATGAGGCAGTCACTGTGAAAATTTAAGCACGGTACCGTAATTCTCATTCTGGATCAATTAATCCAGAACCCTTGTGTCTGACTCCATCCATCACTGGCATGCAGCCTCCGATACACTAACCCTGAGGGAATGTGGCCCCCCAAAAGAAACAGAGGTCACCCTTTCCCTTTAAAGTACCTGTGTGAGTGTTGAGGTGATTTCTCAGCAATGTGACTGTCCGGAAAGCTCTGCCACAAAGATGGCACTTGTGTGGCCTCTCATCTGTGTGGCTTTTCATGTGACGGTCCAGGTTTGAACGGCGTGGGCAAGTGTAACTACACAGTTCGCACTGGAATGTCTTCTTCACTCCTGTCCAGAAAGCAAGGCTCTTTAGCAGTCTTAAAATAGCAACCCTTTTATATGCATAAATGACCTGGAGCACCACAGAGGCAAATCCAGTTCAAAGTCCCCACTTTGAGGCAGGATCCTCCTCATGTTTTTCTTCCACCCCACTTCCAATTTCAAGGCACCTATCCAAAGGGGACAAAGTATACCACATCAGATTAAATCAGGGGATAGCATTAATAAAACCAATAGAAGTAGATCAAACAAATTAATTAATTAAGGAGGCAACTCGTGATCTGAGGTAACACTGATCTGAGGGAAAACTAGATAATTCACATCCTGAAATCCACCCATCACCCCTGTATTTAAATCTTCATGGAAGGAAAACCAGATTCTTTAAAAAAAGTGGGGACAAAAACCCTTTCTTGATCTCAACAGGCCACAATGAGGTATCAAAGACAGTCAAGTCTCCTATCAAAACATATCTGGGTTTCAAGGCTGGCAAGGCTCTTTGCTCTAAGATGATGATGTATTCAGGAAGAGAGCATTAATTCCTATCCAGAACAGATACTGAAGATGCCCCCCCTTCTGCTCCCCAAATCCAATGTCCCATGTACCTTTCTTTTTAATTTTTGTTGGCTTTGGGGGCTTCATGTTGCCCACCACCTTCTCCGCATTGACCTCTGACAACAAGCCCTCCTGTTGCTCCTCTTCAAAGTCGTATACAGACACGTCCACATCTTTTCCCTCCTCAGTATAACGAAGTTTGCTTTTTTTGGTTTTCTTTGTCTTTTTGGCTGGGGGCTGATAGTCTGGGTCTTTCTGCCAATTAGGATCCTCCTGGGGCTGAAGTTCACCTTGCTCCAGCGTCTCCACCTCACCATTTGCACCAACTTTTACCACCTGGAAGCCTTCCGGCAAAGGGAGGGTGTGGCAGATCATAGGCTCCCCTTCCTGGAGGCCTCCTTTGGAGACCTCATTTTCGTAGGCCCCCTGAAGTTCTTCCACAGAAGTGGTAGCAACAGGTACAGACACTGGGACAGGCACCTGGACAAGTTGGAGCTCGCCCAGGTTTATAGGCTGCTCTTCCATATTCACAACTTGTAGGGTTATTATTTGCGTGTCGTCCACAGTAGCCTCAGCTTCCTGTTGCACAGTGCCTTCCATGACCTCCGTCTTCATCTGAAGCAGCGTTGGATCAAGCTGCTCCATCATGACCATCTGGACACCAGCACTGACTTCCTGTACCACTTCAGCCCCATCTGCCTGGTTGGGTGGCATTGGGCAAGCATCCTCCTCCTGCCCACCTTCCCGGCGCCTTTGATAGGTCTTCCTTTCTTTGCCTTTAATGAAAGTTTCAGACTCTTCGCCAATAGCTTCAACTGCCTCCCCTTCCATGTCACCTTCCTGCTGGAAAACAGAGGGAGAGACAAAACACTTAAGCAGTTGTTTCAGCAGCTTGCAAGAAATGGGGGGACAGAGTCTCACACCTTAAGAAATCTGATCAGACATGAATGACACATTGCATTTGCTGAAAAAAGAAATGCTCAGAACAAAGAACCCTGCTCACAAATATTATGGATACAACTCCTTACACACTCTTGATATAGGTCTGTAATGTGAAAAAAGAGAAAGAATTCTAATTCTAACTCAGGATTTGGGGGACAAGATCAGGCTACAAGGATACATGCATTTTACACTTCTTTCTTCCTCCTGCATCCCATGAGTCAGATACAGTATTTTTGGGCTAATGCAAAGCTGCTTCTGAATTTTTTGTCCCTCCCAAAAAGTGTCAAAAAGATTGAGTCTCTGGGGACACCATGAAATCCCTCCACCATTACTTTCAGCAGTAGCCATTAGTCAAAAGTGAAAGAAAAAGGCAAGTTGCTTGGCTGCTCCTGGAAATAAATGGTCTAGGTGTGATGTGATGTACCAAAATGGCACAGGCGAGGCAGCAACCCCAAAATAAGATGTCAGAAAAGCACAACCTCCAAATACTTTGTTTTGGATCAGCCAGCTTTTGCAACCATACCCTTCTTTACTGTGCTTATGTTGCTTTTCCCCAAGCAGGAAAAATCAACTAAGTGGAAGGGAAACTGGAACATGTTCAGAATGTTGTGTGGATACACACCTAAAACTGAGTGCCTGGGACACTGCCAATACAAAGTAAATGGCTGCTGTGGAGGTGTCAATAGTTCACAGGGAGAGAACAGCAAAAAGGCTGACAACGTGGGCCAAAACAAAGAAGAGCCCACACAAATGTTGGTGGTTCAGTGCCACTGCAAAAGCAAACAGAAGACAGATGACATGTGAGGAAAGGCCCATCTGAGATCTGTTAAAATGAAAGCAGTATTTAAAAATCTTTAGCTTATTCTAACCCCAGAGGGTTGGAGTACCTAAGAACTTTAAATGTTCTTTCTTTAAAAAGAGAGCGAAAGAAAAGTCTTTATCTGAACTGGAATTTGGAAGTCAATGTTTAGAGTTATTTTTTAATAAGACTACAGTAATCCTGCAAATAAATCTACGTACAGCATTCACTCATCTACCCACACTAGTAACTTGTTGCATAATGCTAACATTAAAATTAAAGGAATGAACCAACCTCTTCCATTAAAAAAACACAACTCTGGTGGTGCCATGAAAAAATCCCAGAGTTGAGCACTTGAAATTAATCCAGATGCAGACTTTAGGGATTAAATTACACCCGTGTACTTTTTGTTACAGAATTAACACAGGATTGTCCTTCCAGGACATTTTTGTCTGCATGGTAGTACACAATGCTCCCCAAGTTCAACATGTCACCAGCGTGTTTTCTTTCTGTATACAAAAGGTGGGGGACACCCACAAATTGTACTGATATGCTAATGGGGTGCTTTATTGTCCCACTGGTAGTACAGTAATGTACTGGGATGAAAATGTTGCATGTTTTTTTCAAACCAAATGATCCAGGGAAGTCAACTTCTAGCAACACTTTGTTTCATTTTAAGCCATTCCAGTTCCCCACAATATATTGGAATGTATTGGAATAGAAAACCACACCTAAAACACTTACTATTGCTACTACATTTCTATCCCTCCATGGAGCTCAAGGTTGTATATATGACTCTTCTCTCCATTTTATCCTGCACAGCAGGTGAGGCTAAAAAAAATCCTATGTTGATTAGCTTGGAGAGAAAACAACTGCATTCACTGAAAGGCAAGTAAGTATCTTCTGGAAGCAGAGTAAAAACCTGTTATTTTGAACCACTATTTGGTAGCTGGTGTTGAAGAAGGGATTATGACTTAACTTCTGTTTTGCTTTAAATATGTTAACTTGCTTAGGTGTTTAGCTCACATCCAAGGCATCACTATCCTGCACAGGATTACAATAGGCCCTGGGATCTATTCCATCTCTTTGAAAGTAACAAAAGTGAGGCTGACGTAGGATGAGGATTGTCCTGATGAGTATACAAGGTATAAGGAATGTTTTCTACCTTCTTCACACTTAACCTTTGGAAAACACTGCTCTTGTCCATGCACTTCACATTTCCTCCAACATAATAGATACTTTTAGAGACCCATGTGATTGTTGATACTGCAGCAGCACCCAAAATTTTGCAAAAATAATGATTTCAGTGTCAGTATAACTAAGAAACGGAAAATTAACAAAGCAATGCAAAACAAATTGACACGCAATGAATCCCACTGGTTTTAAGTTAATTTCCTGTTTTCTGCTAGCAGCTGTCTGAGTATCTCAGTATTACATCCGCCTGTATGACAGTTAACAGTGAGATTCAACGCATGCGCTTAATAAGCTCTCCTGTCTCCCTGCCCAGAAGCTGACCACATGATCTGCAGTGTGGGTGGGTTGCTTTGCTTGTCAACACTGAGACAGCCTCACATCTCTTGCCTAAACTTCCCCACAAAACAAATAATTCCATATCCTAGCAGGCCAGCTAATGTGTCTGCATAGGAGGAAAGAGGGGGGAAATCCAGAAATCAAAAGATCAGAAAAAAGAGAGTATTTGGTTAGCTTGATGCTCTAAAAGTCACCTCTATAGGACTAAGTTTTGAGACAACCCAATGACTCACTTTCTGGTCAACTACATCGCGCACCCCACCCCCTTTTAAAACAAAAGGAATAGCAGCATTGATGGAGAGGCCACAACATACCGCTCTTCAACAAGCACCACAGCATTTAATTTGAGCATCAGTAAGTGGAAGCATGTGCAATTTGGGCTTCTACAGTTGTGAGGCTTTATAGGAGAACCAGCCCACTTAGAATTTGCATAAAGGCATATTGCCACTTTAGTGTAGTAATTACATTTATGAACCATAAAATAGCTTTTACCCTTTTTATCCAAAATTAGTGAATTATTATGCAACTTTCTAAATGTTCTTCCTTTCCTTACCCTCCGACTTGTCTGTCTTAATAATTTTTGCATAGCACTTAGCACAATTTTAAGCACTTAAAAAAAAAGATGCCATCAACCGTTTTGGAGACATTCTGAAACATTTTTCTGTTTTTAAAACCATGGCAGAAGAGAAAAGTCTGAATGCCTGCAGTGCATGCTGTCAGTTTTTAATTTGCCTCTGTGAATTTTAGAGTTCATTTGGATTGGCTCACCCTGCACACCTGCAGCAGAAGCCCATGTTTCCAGCCTTGGCCATTGCAGAACACACCCACTCAAGTTCTGCTCTGGATCTCCAATTAATATTTACAGTGGAGTCATGGCAAGTTGCTAAGAATTTAAACCTGTAAGGTTTAACTGTATTTTACAACTTGAGAAGTTGGGCTGGAACACTGAACCAATTAACAGGTTAGATTAATTGATTAAAAACTATTTGAATAACTAAACTGGTACTTCCTATTTTTAAAAGTCTGCATATTCTCCCCCCCCCCCAAAAAAAAGATTGCTGCTTTTAAAGCACCTATATACTGCTTTCAGGTTGGTTGGTTTTTAAAGCAATAGTGGTATATAAATTTTATGAAAAACATTATTATAAATTATAAAATAACAGGGGACAAGAAGCACTATCTTGAAATAATATTAATATTTCAAGTAGTCCACCTGCCACTCTCGGCGGCTTCCAACAAAATAAAGGAACACATTAAAAGCTTCCTGAAACAGGGCTGCCTTCAGATGCCTGAAATATGAGGAATTGGCTCTACTAAAATATGCCTGCAAAAATATAGGGCATGATACTTTGAAAAGTGTAGCATTTTTCTTCAGAGCTATTGTTCTTACTAGTATACAGATGTTAAAAAACCACACACACCAATCTTAACATTTATTTAAGGAACTTGACAGCTTCAATTAAAAAAAAACCCCTCAATGGGACAGTTGCATCACGGTGGGGGGAGTTCAAACAAGGCTCTGGATCCACAGAATACACTCAAGTCCCTGATGCTACACAATGGTCCAGAAAGCTAAGACAGTACCACCTTTTAGAGGAAGCAATTTAATCAAAATGCAATTGCGATCACTCCTATCTGTTGACTACAACATAACTGGCATCCAAATCTGCCTAAGCCTGTATTTTCCTTAACATGGCAAAGAAAGAAAATGCTACTTGCTTACTGTATTTTTTGCTCTATAAGACTCACTTTTTCCCTCCTAAAAAGTAAGGGGAAATGTGTGTGCGTCTTATGGAGCAAATGCAGGCTGCGCAGCTATCCCAGAAGCCAGAACAGCAAGAGGGATTGCTGCTTTCACTGCGTAGCGATCCCTCTTCCTGTTCTGGCTTCTGAGATTCAGAATATTTTTTTTCTTGTTTTCCTCCTCCAAAAGCTAGGTGCGTCTTGTGGTCTGGTGTGTCTTATAGAGCGAAAAATACGGTAGTTTCTATGCCTGAACAGCCATGTTCAAGGGAAAGTTTTGTATGTTACCCTGCTGTTTTAAAATTATGCTATCATGCACGACATTAAGTGGTTAAACCTAAAGGTTCACAACAAACATGTTTTTGCTCCACTACATGTAGATTATTATAAACAAGCAAACAAAGAGGCAGACAGTAACGAGACTTTACTAACAACTATAACAACAAAGGGAATGTTAGATAGAGCATATTATTACAAAAGCTGTTCCCTAAATACAAAAAAAAACCCCACACAAATAAAACTTAGGTTATAGTTACCCCAAAAATGTTCATACTGTTTTTTACTAAAAGCAGCACCCTCTGTCTTGAGCTAAATTTCCAACATTTATTTCCAAGTAGCTAGTACTTCTCTAAAAAGTTCTTTTACCTTTTTAAAAGATTCAACTTGAGCACAATGATTCACTATTGTACAATAGCCACCTAAGTGGTTTTAAGTAAAGTTAGCCAAATTCATGGAAACACCTATCATGAAAGCTACGTCAAATCATCTTATTCAGGGGCAGTATATCTCTAAACACCAATTGCTACAGGGGAGAGCTGTTGCCTTGAATCCTGTTTTCAGGCTTCAATTTTAGTTGAAAACTTTTGTAAATAAGATGCTGGACTAGATAGACAATTAGTTGGATCCAGGAAGGCTTACAAGTTAAGCATCGCAAAGGTGAATAAGGCATTTTTTGACCTTTGCTAGGTTAAATGCTGATTTTAAGGATTCTGCCAAGGCTATTTTAGAAATGCTTATGAGTAACTCATTTCACTCCAGAGACAGCTTCAGAAAAACCTGGGAGTCAGTTACTCAAACCCAAGAATTGAGTACCTAGAACATCTGTTCTCTTGGCTTTTGAAGTGTACAATAATCTTTTAAAGGGCAGTAAATTTAGTTCACCAGGAAAAACAGTGCCTAACTAATAGCAGACATGCCCACTGAAGCTTACAAGATTCTCAACTAATTAAGAATTTATACATATTTTTTCTTAGTCACATGCTGCAGATATATTCAGAATTTCAGTCAATTTAGATCTGTGTCATATATCTTCATGTTATTCCACAGCTGTACATATGAACTCTCCCTGTTTTTCAATGATAAATGTATGAACATTTATGATCCTTACTCACACTAAGCTGGTGAGCACCTGTCATTTTGATAGTGCCATCAGAAGACTCAATGTTAAAAGAGGTTACTCTCATTGTGCAGAGTTGTTGTTGTCTTAATGAAATATTCCAGTAAGTGACCAAGATCCCAAGCTTGTATGAAAGCTTTAAAATAAAGTATGCAAATGTGTGAGCTTTCAGTTGATGTTTAAGTCATTTTACACACATGTAAGAACTCAACATACTGTAGACCAAAGTTGGAAAATTTCTGAGTATCCAGCATGTATATTTCCCCACTAGCCCTTGTTTAGCTTAGCTTGCAGTAAATTGCCCCAAAGTCTTATTCCAACTGACCAGGAATGTCAGAGAGCTCCTCTTCCATAAAAACCCTGCCCTAGAAGCTTTCACTAATGTGGTTTCTTTGCTTCCAAAGAAGCAGGGAGTACTGGAGTGCTTTCAAATAGCAGCTCTACCCAGCTATGCCTCCTCCAATTCCACATCCCCTCCTCCTCTATTTTAAAGAGAGTTTTGAAAAGGATCTTGCAGTAGCAGTCAACCATGGCCAAAGGCAAAACCAGTGTTTCTCTCTCACGATCTTTCTGTCAAGAGCTGGAGAATACATCAGGTGCCATTAGGAGCAACCCTTTTGATATGAATGCTCCTTCTTGACACTGGGGAATCAACAAGGTATCAAGGTGACCCACCATTGGGATTAATCAGAAAATATGCAGAAAAAAGATATTTTCCAACACTAGCTTATGAATCCATCTTCTGGGTTAAGTGGAGGGTGAGAGAGGGAAAAGATCTCAACCCCTCAACACTTGCCTCTTCTAAACTGGACTCTTCTGGCTGACACCTTGTTTCACTTTCTCGCCAATGCAAAGAAAATCCCTTTGGCTTCAGTTTGCAAGATCGTCTGCTTGGAAGAAACCAACACAAAGATCTATGAACTCTGAACAAAATTGTTATGTTCCAGGGAGCTTGAAAGCAACTGGAGGTTGCCTCAGACTCAATGTACACACACAGACACACATACAATAGGTATGGGGAACCTCTGGCCCTCTGGATGTTGCTGGACTCCCATCAGCTCCAACAAGGACGGCCAATGGTCAGGCATGAAAAAAATTGTAGTCCAGAAACATCACACTTTCCTTACCTAGCTTTCCCCCAGGAGCTCAGAGGCTGCAGATATGAATAAAAGCATAAAATGCTGTGCATGAGATGCTATTTAAGCCATTTGACAGCAAGCAATGGAGAAGCTCTATTTGGATAACACAGACATAAATTTCCTCTTTCTTGTTAAGTAAGAAGTTTCCAAGACTGTACCCAGAGGGAAAGCTATTCCACCACAGTGAGATTCAAAAAGCTTCCCTTGTTTATGTGGAACCATTTTCACTGAAGTATTCATACCTCAATTGTAGAGCAATTGCTTTGCATGTACAGTATAAAGATTTAGGTTCAATCTTTGTCATCTCTCTTGAAGAGGAATCAGGTGGCAAGTGATGAGACAGACCCCTGCCTGAGACCCTGAAGAACTGCTGCCAATCTGAGAAGACAATACTAGGCTAATTTGACTTTATATAAGGCAACTTTCCATGTTCTTAACAACAAAGTCTATGAATGTCAGTTCAGAACTACGTTCCACTGAGTTCAAAGCAGTTAACCCCCAGCTAATATAAGATTAAATCAACAGGACTTGAAATTTATTTTTACAAAGGTGGAGCAAACTCTAAAAATCCTGAGTTCTATACTACATGTTACAAAGGCCATCACATTTTGTAATTACAGCTATGCTAATAAAACAGGCTGATTGAAGCTACTCCAGGGTTCTTATTTTATATATTTATCTGAGTCCAATATCACCTCTGAATGTACAAACTGGAAGTTTGTATGTAATGGCACAGTAGGGAAAGTGAAATTTACAAAAATAAATGAATTCCACCAGGTACAAGAATTCACATTAAATGTGACCGTAAGTTTTGAAAATAAAGTCAGGTTCCCTAGCTATGAAGCAGATTCCCAAACTGCTGCCCATTGGCTCAACCATTCAGAATACAGTGGTACCTCGGGTTAAGAACTTAATTCGTTCTGGAGGTCTGTTCTTAACCTAAAACTGTTCTTAACCTGAAGCACCACTTTAGCTAATGGGGCCTCCTGCTGCCGCTGCTGCACGATTTCTGTTCTCATCCTGAAGCAAAGTTCTTAACCCGGGGTACTATTTCTGGGTTAGCGGAGTCTGTAACCTGAAGCGTAAGTAACCTGAAGCGTATGTAACCCGAGGTACCACTGTATTTCATAAAACACACCAAGTTTTGACGGAAGTAGCAAGGGTACATTTAATCCTTAGCAGTACTGCTGAGAATTCAACAACTGCAACATTAGAATCAATTGAGACATTCAGATCTAAAACCAAGGTGAATGCCTCAATATGCCAGGAGGTTTCTGGAAGTTTTACAGATATATGAGAGTTCAACACAGGTGGAGATAAAAAGATAAGTAGAAGCAGTTTGTTGGCATAGTGTAGATGGAGGTGGAGCATAACAACAGGCAAGTCTGAACTATAGCTCAGAAGACCAGGCTATTAAAGGAAGAATGTATCTGATACTGGCAGAAATTTGCTAAGATTTAATCATAAGAACATAAGAAGATGCTGCTGGATCAGGCCAATGGCTCATCTAGTCCACCATCCTGTTCTCACAATGAGTAACCAGATGCCTGTGGGGAACTTGCAAGTAGGACATGAGCGCAACAGCTCTTTGCCTACCTGTAATTCCCAGGAACTGGTATACTACCTCTGACAGTGGAGGTAGAACATAGCAATTATGGCTAGTAGTTGTTGATAGTCTTGACCTCCATGTATTTGTTTAATCCTTTTTTAAAGCCAACCAAGTTGGTGGCCATCACTTCCTCCTATGGGAGACAGCTCCATAGTTTAACTATGTGCTATGTGAATAAGTACTTTCTTTTATCTGTCCTGGAATCCCCAATGAAATAAATGGAACTACAGTGCACTGTTACATAGGCATGTCTTTCAGATGTCAGCACAGCCTAGTCCCAACAGGTTAACTTTTGCTCAATAGAGTCTACTGCCGCCAGTATCAGCCAACTCTAACACCATCAGATTAGCATGAATATGTAAGAGTAGCCTTGATTAAGTTACTCCCCGCCTCTCAAATTCATTTGTTCCCTTGCACCACTTTGTACAGTACACTACTTGCCCAAAGCCTGCAAAAGAGTAAGTTAAGGAGCACACAAGGTCCACCTGTTTTCATGGTAGGAAAGTTTGAAAGTAAAATAAGAAACAGAATGTAACCCATAAAACAGCTTACTGTGGTTATTTAGAGATGACTCATTTGCATTGGAAAGTGACAGACAAATGACAAATGGGCAAGACTTTAGAACTGTGTTTTAAAATATATGTGGGTGAGGGATACTAGTTTGGAATACACTTTTAGGTTTAAATGACTATTCAGACAATCACTACAATACTGGAAGCCCAAAAGAATATTTTTTTAGAAATCAAGCAGAATTCTAACTATTACAGCAAAACAGCAATGATGGCCACTGACAACACAGAAGCATTAGCTACATCAAGATGCTGCACCAACTATGGGCTAGCATAATATAATTATGGTAGCATGGGTCTATTATTTCACTTAAATCTCCCCTCAGGGACACCTCATTCTGTAAAACATGTACTGTAAATAAATGGTCAGAATCAAAGCTGGTTAGCTATGACCAATACCCCTCCTCTCCCCATTTTATTTTAGAAGGCAGTTCACTAGTGTGATGCAATTATGACTTATCCGTCAAGATTACCCAGGATGGCTTGGGCAATTTGCTATCACTCACCCTAACCTACTTTGGATAAATACATCTAACAGGCCCACAAATTTCACACTAGCAACCTCAAGCATGTTCTCAACTCCTCAGATTAAATTGACAGCATATATTCAGAGCAATATATTTTAAAACAAGGCATATAAAGTAATATGCAAATTTCTGGTATATTCTCTTTGTGAAAGAGTTCTTTTCTTAAAATAAAACCGCAGGAGAACCTTCAGGAAGCTATAGAGTCAAAGTAGTAATAGACTTCTCTTCTTCAGGGCTGGGAGATCCCCCTCCCCCAAACCTTCTTGGATTATACATGAGGATGTATAAAGGAAGATCTCTACAACCTCCGGAATTGAGTGGCCCTATTTTCTGGCAATTTTAGAGGGCTCTCCCTTAAAGTATTACTTTTTTCTCCCCTTTAAGAATAGTATCTGCACAAAGATAATAGTGACTAGGTGGTAGCGTCGAAGCCAAAGTCATGACTGGGGGTATGAGTGAGATCGTGAAGTCTCCCCCCCCCTTCACTCACACCATCCTAACTTTACGAAAGGACCTTCCCCGGTAAAGGTGAAAAGGGGAGCCCCGCGTGAGCTCCTTCCCGGTTCCAGGCCGGGCGGGCGAGCTCGGGCGTCCCCGCCTGGCGCTCTCCCGCGCTGCATGGCGCTGCAGCTCAGCCTGCCTTGCAAGAGGGAGCTCGAGTCCCGATCTTGAGCTCGCAGCGCCTCTCACTCCGCAGCGCGCACAGCGAGGCGGCGGCCGGCGGGAGCAGGCGGGCAGGGACGGGCAGCGCGGACACGCAGGACCATCGGGGGAAAGGACGCGGACGGAGCAGGCCGGGGACGGTCAGCTGGGACGGGACGAGGACGTCCGGGCATGGGGAGGAGGGAGAGAAAAGCAGAAGCAGAGACGGGCGGGAATCGACGCGGGGCGGAGGCGACCGGGCGGAACGAGAAGCGAGCCAGAAGAGGCGGGAGGTGGCAGGATTAGGCCGCGGGTTAATGGGGGCGGCTCGGGAGGAGCTGGGAAACGGGGGGGGGGAGGAAACCCAATCGACTCGGCCAGGATCAAGGCGGACGGGTGGGTGTTTTGAACAGAGCTTTTTGGCGGGGACAGGAACGCCCGGGGTTAGTCGTTTCCATAATGGCGGACGAGTTAAATAAAAAGCGAGTCACTCCAGCAGGCCGTGGTTGGCGGCGGCGGAGAGGGTGAGGCGGCGGCGGATTGGGCAAGGCCGAGCTAAGCAGCCGCGCCTCTGTCTATTTATCCAGGCCCGGCCTGGTTCCGGCAGAGGCGCTGCACTGGGAGGCCGATGGGCGGCAGTACCAGGCCGGCATCAGGGCGATGGGGACGGTAGAGGGAGACAAAGCCCCGCTCCCCATCGGCGGCGCCGCGGCGGGTCCCAGCCCGAGCCCCATCGTGACACCTAGAGGCCGGAGAAAGCGACTGCAAACCCCCCGCGCTGCTTACCTGTCCCGGAGGCGCCTCCGGGCCGCCCCTGCTGCCCCGGGCCCCGCCCCGCTCGGGCCCTGCGGAGCTCCTACTGCCGCTGCCCCGCCGCTAGCGGCCGCCGCCAGCGCCCAGCACCAGCTCGCGGTTTAATCGTTCCACAGTCGCCTCGGACACAAAATGGCGGCCGAGAGGAACAGTGCGCCTGCGCCAGCCCGGCAGCCGCGGCCGCCGAAGCCGAGCGAAGGGAGGAGGGAGCGGGAGAAGCGGCCGCGCGGAGCACCATGGGAGGAGCCGCTGGGCGCCAACTTCAAATAGAGGACCTAGAAGGGCCGCGGCGGACGTGAGGGCGGGTGGCGCTGTGACGTCACGCGCGGCCTGGGCCGAGGGTGCAGAGCACTTGCACGTTGCAAGCGCGGGCAAAGGGATTGGTTCCGCGGTGTGGCGCCCTCTTGAGGTGACGTTGGCCCTGTTGCCACCTGCCGGGAAAGGAAAACCTCTGTCAACGGGTATAATCAGGAGCAAATTGGTGCAAACGTGTCCAGAAGCAAAATAGACGAGCTTGGATATGTAAGTTAACTGCAGCTTGTCAGAGGCAGTTTGTGATTGCACACCTTTGCCTCAAAATAGAGATGCTACTTATTTTTATATTAGAATTAAACCTTTAACAATCCCTTAGTAGGCAGAAATTCAACAGGCAAAGCTGCCACCTCTCAGTGTATATCTGTGGTGAGAAACACTGCTGTCCTTTTTAATTTGATGCACAGCCATTAAAGCCCTCATACCCAAAAGAGTGGAGCGGTGGTGGGATCTACAATCTTTTAAAATTTTAAAGATCTACAATCTTTAAAAGTCATGGGGATGTTTGCTTTTCAAATCTTATTTGTCTTATTTGAAAGGCACAGTAATAATCAGGGAAAGGATCACAACAGGTGGGTTGATGTCCTTTCAAAGTCCATACAGTATTTGTTAGGATATGTACTGTACATGGAATGTAGGTAAACTAACTGCAACCCATCTCAATTCTTAGTGAAGGGTTCCTGCCTCCCTTGAAATATCTAAGAGGAGAGCAGTTTGTAGTTGAAAGTGATTATCAGAAATTCAGCAGAAAACGTATTAAAGAGATTTGCTTGTGTCCCATTCCACATTCAGGCAGTTTAGATTTTACTTTTAATTGGTGCTTGGTTTCTAAAATGGGAAGTAGCTCTATCTAGAACCCCCTTACCTGTCCTTATGGAGCCAGTGAATTATAGTTATTCAGGGTGTTCCTTGCTGCATATGTAACATGAATGTAGTGACTATGTTTGGTGGGTGTTTTTAAATACATTTCTTCTACTTTAATAGTATTTATATACCTCCCCTCGCCACAAAATATCCTCTATATATCTCTAATCCCTATTCTTTAATTAATCCTAGTTCTTTAATTGGAGCTGTGGTAATTTTTGTAATTTTTATCTCCAGTTCCAGGGCAACCATCAGGGTCCCAACATCACTGATACCTGCCCTGAGTTCCCCTTTATTTTTTGTGGGCCAACACAACACCCCTGACAAAGTGCTGTTACAAGGTATTGAGGGAAATTAACATGGTAGCTAGTCCCTGCCATCCAACATTGCTGAAAGCATCACTGTTGCTGATGCCAACCATTACTGACAGGTATGCCTGCTAGGGCATATTGACAGGTGGTGGGGTGGGCACTAGAATGAACAATGCATAGGACCACCCCTACCTGGGGCTGGCCCTTTCCAGTTTTCCTCTCAAACGACAGCTTCAGGGAAACCTCCCCACTTCCATCTGCTTACACCAGCTAAAAACAGCTAGGGAAGAATTTAATGCTGAGCATAGGCAGCGATCCTCCATAAACCTGCTGGCCAAGGAATCCCCAAACATCTATTTCTGGATTTGCTGGATGGCCATTTTACTCTTGGTGGACCTCATGGGAAGCATGACTCAATGCTTCCCACTAGAAAACCAGACAGCAGCAATGATAGATGTTGGAAATCGTTTGCCTTGTATGAATTGTCTCAGGCTTTGCAGGTGGCCTGTGGGTACTTTAAAAATCCCCTAGCTAATAGGGTAGCAATGTTAACAGAATGTGTGCTCTCTCTCTCAAAAGGTATTTTATTCTTTGTATGGGAGAGGCAGGTACAAGTACAGCTGAACGTATGTAGCTTACACTGATTTCATCACAACTTTATTTGGGCAGTGGGTAAATAAATGGAGAGCAGAGAAAACCCCCTGCAAAAAATATCTTTTTAAGCCTTCCATTTTGCTTATTGGGCTCTGGGAAGGTTACATGAGGGCCCTGGGCTTTGCACATCCTTCCCAGAGGGCAGTAAGTGAGGCCAAGGGCAAGGCTGCTGTAGACAGGTAGGGATGGTCATGGGGAGAGCAGTTCCAGAGGTTCCTGGCTTTACACTATTTTGCATTTGCACATGGACCCCTGAAACCAAACCCTCATATAAGCTGCGAGTTACCTCTACACAATCACAGGAACTTCCACCTGAAGTGGTATAGTCCAGACACTAATTCAAAGTTATGCATTTCATCTCAGTGGCAGGCTAGGGAAGCAGCTTAGGGCACTTTCAATACATTTTAGTGAAGTAACCATGTGGAAACGAAACCCAGGGATGTGCCAATAAGAAACTCCAACGAAACAATTATACAGGGCAAATAGCTGGGTCTTTCACAGGAGTGAAATATTCCTCATCAGGGAAAGGGAGACTGTGGCCCTCCAGGTGTGGTTAGATGGCTAAATGCCCTCTGTCCCAGTCAGTATGGCCAATAACTATGATAGTCTAGCAACTTCTGGAAGTACAGGGGTTCCCCATCTCTATGCTAAAGGGATCCATTCAAGCTGAGGATCTCAAGACACATCATTTTGATGTCACAAGCCAAGGAAGAATTAATTTAGGAACAACCTTGGTTTTAATGTACTTTACATCCATATATCCTTGGGCTTTCCTCATTAAAGAGCTCATTTTGCCCAGTGACTCTAGGTTAATGTACCGTATTTTTCGCTCTATAACACGCACCTGACCATAACACGCACATCGTTTTTAGAGGAGGAAAACAAGGAAAAAAATTCTGAATGAAACAGTGGATGTATCATTTTTGTGCTTCATGCTGTGGCCACAGACATGTGATCTGATGGTGAATTTGGGGTAGCTCAATGCAAAGATCCTGAGGATCCATGTGGATCCATGCTTTTTAACCACATTTTTGCACCATTGCAGCCCCAGGCAACAGTGGGTGTGTGATTTTGGGGGGGCAGGCTGCTATGTGATCTGATGGTGAATTTGGGGTGGCCCAATGCAAAGATCCTGAGGATCCATGTGGATCCATGCTTTTTAACCACGTTTTTGCACCATTGCAGCCCCAGGCAACAGTGGGTGTGTGATTTTTGGGGGGCAGGCTGCTATGTGATCTGATGGTGAATTTGGGGTGGCCCAGTGCAAAGATCCTGAGGATCCATGTGGATCCATGCTTTGTAACTACATTTTAAGTGGGGAGTGAAGGAAAAACACAGAAGGGACAAGAGAACGGTGTGCAGAGAAGCAGCTGGCTAAGAAAGCAGGAGAGGGATTTAACGGGAGGGAGGGAAAAAAGGCAAAAGTTTCCACAAACCGAAGCCAGCTTTCTCTCTCCTCCTGCATGTTTTCTGGCTGCCTGCGAGGAGCACGGAGAGGAATTAGAAGGAAAGACCTCTGCTTTCCCCTCTGCTTGCCTGGAGGGGAGGGGATTTGCCTGCTCTTTGTTCCGTTTGAGCAAACACAGCAACGAAACAGAGGAGGGTGGGCAGTAAGACCCTGAGGCAGAATGCAGGAAAGCAACCACTTCCTCTTTTCAGGTTTCCCTTCTCCGACACAACGCGCTTTGATTTTTGCTGATTTTTGTTCCTGCGCTCCCCTAATCGGCTCCAGGGACCCCCCCCCCACATTCGCTCCATAACACGCACAGACATTTCCCCTTCCTTTTTAGGAGAAAAAATCTGCGTGTAATAGAGAGAAAAATATGGTAAGTCGGACATGTTTATGCTAGTTTCTGGGTGTAGGAGCTTTTTGGAGTCACAAGTGGTACAGGGAAATTCATGGGCACATGCATATTTTTATAAGCGTATTTACCTAACCTGTATTTATCCACTTTCAAAATGTATTTTCTGTTCTTACCTAACAGCCTATGTGCAGCTCTCATTCAGGCATTGATTCAAAAACACTGCATCAAGTGCTCCCAGACAACTGGAGTAATGTTCTTATTTTCTTACGGTCAAACTAGATGAGATTCTATCTACGCAGTTTACAATTGTGTTAGGGTTTTTTAAAAGTAAATGGCAGACATAAGTCCCCTGACTTTAGCCCTTTGCCCTCCCCCTATATTTCTGATCCATACTCGGGGGTGGGGTGGGGGCACATACCTGCATTAATTGTAAAAAAATGTGAATTATGTTGCATCTTGTTCAGCACCTTTGCTTCTTTTAAAATTGCAGACACATTGAACTAATGTTTTCAGGAGACATCCCCAAAGAATTCTCAGCCTAGGTTATCTCAAGAATCACCTTTCTTCATATGAAACCTGTCTTAACATCTTCGTCTTCTGAGGCCCTGCTCCAAGTTCCCTCACCACCACAGGGCCTTTTCAGATCTGGAATAACATGCCAAGGGGGTTCACCTGCCCCCTTTGTTGTTTGCTCTCAGATAGGCAGGAAAGACCTGTTTCAGTGAACTTTTTCAGATTACTCTCCTTGAATTCCATCTTCCTGTTAACTTTTTAGTGTTTTGCACTACAATCCTATACCTACCTAAATGAGTGTAAGCTGTCTTGAACTCAGAGGGGCTTACTTTTGACTAAAAATATGTAGGATTGCACTGTTAATATCTTTAAGATTGTTAGTTTGGCAGCTTGCTTTTGCTGCTGTATTGATTTTTTCTTTCTTTCCACAGAAGTTGAAAGTCAAATGTGAGGCTTCAACTGTGTCAGTTTTATTTCTGGTGTACAAGTTACTCTCTTTAACTGATATCCAAACACACATAAACATAGTACCAAAGAAATATTTTCATGTTCCTTTCCTGTCCAGTTTGTTAAAAGTTTAGAAATACATTGTCAGAACATGACAGTTTTCAGAGATCCAGAGGGCTCCAATAGGAGAAGAGACTTTGCTGTATTGATGTATATCTATCTATCTATCTATCTATCTATCTATCTATCTATCTATCTATCTATCTATCATATTCAAAGAACCTTATTTAACAAGGCAGGGTATGAATATTGAAAATCGATGAATAATGGTTTCCATTTCTATTTTCTGTACTGCAGGAAGGACAAGGATGACTTGTTGCCTGTGGTCTTCAGCGTTCCCCTTTCACTTCTGGAAAGAAGCTCAGTCCATCTTCCTTTTTATTTCACCACCTGTAAAACCACTGAAAAACTTCAATGCTGTACTTTGTTGACTTGAGTTACTTACCTAAGGTGTTTTTGACCACTTGAGGTTTCACAACACCTCGCTCCTTCCCAGTTTGGTTAGGGAAACTCCACAGCAGCAGTCACAAAATGATGTACACCCAACTCACTTGCTCAAACTTCTTTTTATTTCAGGCTTAAAGTCAAAATTAGCCAAACCTCTTGATAATTACATTATATATATTTATATATCTATGTAGATATACAGATAAAATTATAGCGATTTTATAGAAAAGACTTTTTGCTTTTGTCTGCAACCTCCCCCCCCCAAAAAATGTGTAAATAAAAATAATAAAATAGCCAAAGAAGTGGCAGCGTTTGTCTATCCATGTTGCTTCCATCTGCCACAGCACCACTGTTAAAAACAATCTGTCCTTTCTTCCTCCTCCACTGGGAGGTGGGAAACTCTCTCCTGTAATTGTTGTGCACTTTCTTTCCCCCCACCTCTCAGAACCGAGAGAAGAGTTTGCAGCTCCTCAGTAGCAGAATATACCTGGTCCCAATTTCCTGCAGTATTCACAGCCCCAGAGGGTGGAGGACATGGGCAAGCTAAGAACAAGTTGAACACTAAGTGGGACTTCAAGAACACACAAAAATTCTTCCAAGTTTGTTTCAAATGGGAGATGGCTTTAGCAACTGAGACTTTCTGCCATGGCCATAATGTTCAGCTGTTGTTTTTCTCCAAAATGTGGCATGTTGATCCTGGCAAATGGCAGAGAGCCATACTCAATCCCTCAGCCCCGTGGGCTCCTGTAGGAAAGGAAACAAGCAGATCTCTCAGTGTCTTGTACTCATGTTAGTTCCATGAGTGAAGCAGCCATTGGGGCTAGGAAAAGGCATCCTCCACATAAGACAGTGTGTGGGTGATGCTAATACTGCAGTGTGTGCATGCGCTTAGGGGCAAAGAGCTGCCCAGTCTATGGCACACTAGTCTGACCCCAGTCTGTGTGACTTGGTTGAAGTTCTGTGGCATGCAAAGTCTGGGTCCCAAAAGAATCTGGCTGGTCAGTTTGTGTGGCACCCTTCAGAACGCAGTGCTGGCCATGCTCCCCGGGGCAAAGATTCGGGGCAAACTGTCAAGAGACTCTTCTAGACGTCGATGAGCAGATTTCCCATCTTCTCCTGCAAGCAGATAAAGCAATCAGCTGTTAATTAGGATATTGTTTGCCCCAGCCTTGCACATGTCTACAGAGTCAGACCATAAAATTCCCCTGCCATCATCCTTGGCAACACACTGACCTGAAAATGGGTGATTCCCTCCCCCACCCAATTTCATAAAACTTCATTGCTGCCTAAGGGTGATCCAACCAGCTGTGTGGCCATCTATAAGACTACACTTCCAAATTAATGTATGGTCAATATTGTTTGCTGATGATGGTCCATTCATATTTTCTTGAGTGTGAACCCAGTTCCCCAATCAAACAATGAAGACTGATGAGGCTATATGATTACTGACAAGAATTTACCCTTTGTAGGAATGGTCAGTTGATACATCTGAAGAGCTCATTTAGTAGCTTTTGAACACCGTTGGTTTCCAGGCGCCCTTTTCTGTCCTGAGTCAGTCATTTAATAATTGTCCTGCTTCCTCTGCATGTTCAAAGTGGCGCATGACTGCACTATTCTATTTGAATTTGCCCTTCATTTTGTACCTGTGCTGATCTTTGCTTGTTTGCAGTACTTTAGAACTTGTAAATACCCTCCGCAACAGGCATGCTGCTTTAAGCAGAACTTGAAAGGGAAAATAAGAAGAGCCTGCTAGATCAGGTCAATGACTCATCTAGCTCAGTATCTTGTTTTTACAGTGGCCAACCAGGTGCCCACGAGAAGCTCCACAAGCAGGACCTGATTGCAACAGGTCCCCCCGTTCAGGCACCTGGATCGACACAGTTTTTGTGGCATTGCAACTGCTGACAATCCCCTCCTGCTGCACTTTGATGATCTGCTAGTGGGTCTGTGAAATGGGTGGTGTAACCCCCACAAAAAACCCTTTTAAATTATTAAAAACTATTGTCCAGATTTCATTCCATTTTAGAAGATTTACAGGGTGCTGTGCCAGATCCTGTGGATCTCACCCCACTCCATAACAAATACAACCAGCTCTGTGCCAGTGCTGACTCCTGGGCTCCTAGTTTCTAGTGATAACGGTTGGTGTGTGTTCAAGCTTCCCCCCTGAAACCTGTCTTCCCAATCTGGGGCTTGCAGTTGCAGCATATGAACAGTAGGGGAAGCCAAGGGTGTAGGCAGAAGCTCTCAAGAGATGCTGTGAAGGATGTCCTGCTGCTCAGTGAAGGGTGTGCTTGGCCTTGTAACACTGGCTAATGCAGGGATGGGGGCAAGAGGCCTTTACATCCACCAGTGGTAGCAGAAAACCCCAGGGTGCAATTCAAAGAAATATGCCCTATGACAAGAATGTTGTCATTCTCGACAACATAGACACCAACAGGCCATCATCCTAACCTTATAGTTAAAACCCTTTCAGCTCTCCGCAGTTAGTCGCCCATCACTAATGGAATGCAGGAGGAGCCTAAATAGTGCGCCTTTGAGAAGCCCTTCATCTTCCAGGTGTTTTGAGCTTCTTAAAAACAGAAGACGCCTTTAGCTGGGAAGGCAGGTTTCATTTGGAAGAGATGAACTACACGCTTCTTGTTACCAGGAAGCATAAAAATAGGGGCATTTTCAGTGCCAAGCCCCTGATCTAAAAGGCCTGTCTGGGTAGGAAAGTGGAACTTGCTTTGCATGCAGAAGATCCCAGGGGTGAGTGTTTGGCATCTCTAGTGGAAAGATCAACAAGTAGGTGATGGGAAAACCACAGCCAGATACGGGAGAGCCACTGCCACTCCAGAATAGACAATACTGGGGCAAGATGGACAAGCAGTCTGACCTGGCAGAAGGCAACTTCCTAGGTAATCTGGATCATAGCCCCTCAACAGGTGTGCCATTCCCTTTGCAACAGTGACAAAGACACAGCCAGAACACAAGCGCACTAGGAAGAGTGAGCCGAGACAAAAGACCTGACAAGATAAAGACCAACAGGGTCCAGGACAAGAGACACCAATAAAGCATGCAGCACAGTGGGAAGGGGGAAGAATGGACTGGCCAACACATCCCAACCTGTGCAGCTGCTGTCATGACCCGGAAGTCTAGTTAGCCAATCAGATGGTTCTCTCAGTGCCATCTAACAAAATGATAAACAACAACTGCTTAGTGCTTTCCACTCTCAGTGTTCCATATCAACTCTCACTAAGTGAGCAGCAATGTAGGGCCAAGAGGGTGCTCTGTCCTATGCTGTGGACACTAGCAAGAGATCAAGGAATAGATATGGGGTATTTAAGAGCATAAATCTATGGCCAAACAGGCAGGAGAAGTTCTGCCTAGCCATCTAGTATAGAATGAGCTTCATTCCAGCACCACATGGAGCCAGACCCCACCCCGCAACAAGCCACAAGGCAGGAGTGGACAACCGGCAGGGTGGGCTGCATATAGCCTTTAGCCTGGTTTCCAAAGCCCTCTGCAACCTACTGGTTTAAATTTTTGGAAGAAGTGATCTGTCTCTTTCTGAGTGGCCTGTTGAGTAGCAAGGGGGGGAGGGAGAAAGAATGAAAAAGGTAGCCCCACCCACCTCAGGCTCTGGCCCTGCACACTGCTGACTTTAGCCCCAATGGATTCCCCAGGGGGAATGTGTCCCTTGATGGTTGTCAACCACTGTCATAAAGGGAGCTGCCTGCCCTGCCCAGGTGAGACGGGAGAGAACTATGTCTGAAAACAAGGGAAGGGCACTCACCACACAGCATTAGGCTCTGTTTGGCTGCCTCTCGTACGGCCTCTTTGTCCGTTTGGCACAAGTACACCAGCTGCTCAATACTCTCCTTGGCCTATTGGAGGGAAATGTAAAAGAAGGTGATGTTATCAAGTTTTAGCTCCTCTAAACAAAACCCAAAGCTACAAATAAGGTGGAAGACCAATACACAAATACAGGATATTGAAGCCCACTGCACCCCAGACAGTTGCTCAACCAAACCTTGTAGTGCGCAATCACTGAGAAGGCTTCCCTCCCTTCCATACAACAAAGTCTTGTTTTAAATGATCAGGTACAGAGGGTGAGATACATCCAGAAAACTCCTGAATGTCAGTTAGTAAATATATTAAAAGCAGACCTTTGAGAAAAGCTTCCATCTAGCCCTCACCTTAAGGCAGCCCAGAGCTGCGCAGGCTGCAATCCGTGTTTGCACCTCTTCATCCTCCAGCTGTTCAAGGTAACAGACCAGGGCCTGGGAAAGACACGTCAGTCAGCCTGCTTGTGCCCCCTTTCTGTACACCACACACCTTTTGTTTCTTGAGACAGATGGGTGGCAACAAACAAATCACCCAACCAAGAAATCAGCAACAAATGACTAATAAAGCACTCTCAGCTACTTCATGAAACTGCAACTCCCAGAATTATTCAGGAGGAATCAAGAAAGTTTAACTGCTTCCTACATGCTTTAGCAATCTGTAGTGTACGCGGGTGGCGCTGTGGGTTAAACCACAGAGCCTAGGACTTGCCGATCAGAAGGTCAGCGGTTCGAATCCCCACAACGGGGTGAGCTCCCATTGCTCGGTCCCTGCTCCTGCCAACCTAGCAGTTCGAAAGCACCTCAGAGTGCAAGTAGATAAATAGGTACCGCTCTGGCGGGAAGGTAAACGGCGTTTTCGTGCACTGCTCTGGCTTGCCAGAAGCGGCTTAGTCATGCTAGCCACATGAACCCGGAAGCTGTACGCCGCCTCCCTTGGCCAATAAAGCAAGACGAGCACCGCAACCCCAGAGTCGGTCACGACTGGACCTAATGGTCGGGGGTCTCTTTACCCTTTACCTTTAGTGTAGCTGCACTTGAAACCAGGCTATCTCCTGATCAATAAATCCCCTCCCAACAATAGGACCAGCACAGTAGATATTTACCCGTTCCCGGAAGCCAGGGTTCTCTGAAAGGTTGCGCAACTGTGCTGACACGGCCCCGACAACCTTGCTGTTTCCTTCGACAAGAAGCAGGCTTAAGGCTTTCAGCCCATCCTTACGAAGCCGGCTCTCAGGAACGCGCTTCAGGGCCTTCAGGACCACGTCTTGGTCATCAGAATTCAGGTTCTGTGCTAGCAGCACTACAGTGTGAAGGCAGAACCAGCTCCATGGTTAGCTACATCATTATTTATTTATGAAGTTCATTTACATACTCCTTTTCAGGAATACATCTGGGAAAGCTGATGACCAGACACAAAGGGTTATTGTATCCACTGTTAGTCCCACTTAAGACTCACTGAAATAGATAGACCTCTGGGTCTACTCTTGAGTGAAAGCTGGTTGGCTACAACCCTGAAATTTTTAAATTTAAGCAATCCAAAATTAACGAGTAAATAAATGCATAAAACAAATATATAAATCATTACAGCATTTTAAAATTATTCCCATCATGCATATACATTATAACCCAAATTTATAATAGTCAATCTATAATTGATGGAACCTTTATTTTTTCCAGTTTTGACTAACAGTCGTTCTAACTGCAGCAATAAGATGTACAGTATCATCATTTCTCCATCCTCCGCTAATATTAATGATTTAACATAGCACATTATTATGTATGGTAATATATCCAGTCATCTTGTAGGTTCGTCATTGCTAACTTCAAGTATTCCATAATTTGCAACATTTCCAATAAATGCAAGTTGCATCTGCTTGAACTACAAGCAGGAATTACAATGCCAGCGAATGGCATTAACTCCTGGGTCACCTAAGGACAAATTTAATAAGATCCCTTTATGTGGCTTTAAAGCAGGCCTCTAATAGGTAGAAGGAATAGCCTCCCCTAAAAAATGTCATCCTTGTGATGGGCAGGGTGATGATCAAACCCTTTAAGAGGCATTTGAGCCAAGAGGTATGGTCACATGTGCAAGTCTTCACTTGATGTTGCTGCTATCAGGCATCACAACATACATGTGGGAACCCTCCATGAATCTTCACAAGTCACACAACATACCTTCCTCTGCCAGCTCCATGATGTAAGAGTCCAGTGTCAAGACAGGCAGAGCCTCAAAGTGGCTCCAGTATTGGAAAACAGTGATCTGCTCAGCCTGGCAGCTCCCCTGGCGCCTGGGCAGTCTACGCTGCAGAAACTCCTCCACCAGCTTCACACACACTGTGGCAGGGAAAAAACCATGGTCAAGGTGGCTCCCAAATACTTGGTAGATGCACCAATCATATGGCAAGGGTCTTGCAACTACACCCAGGCTTCTGAATGGGGCTGGAGGATGGTAGGGACTTGGGAACAGTCCCTGGGAACAAGCTCTGGGGTGGGTTCACTCTTTGGATATGAATAAAGCTTTGAGGAGTTCATTCTGAGTTACACTCATTTTGCCACCACCCTCAACAGTTCAATCATAGTCAACTCCAACAAATCATGGGCCAGTTATACTGTTATTTGGAGTACAATCAGTCTTTAACATATCTCGATACAAAAAATGCTGAACTAAGTCTAAGGCAAAGAACGGCTCAAAGGTTCCCTAGGAGTCACTCCTTTATGAAAGTGAATTTTAGGGCATCACAAACGACCCTTGTCCACACCTTCCTCATAAAAGAAGCATACAGCACAAGCATAGGAATGGATATTTGGCCCAGAATTCAGCACTCGGGGAACCCCCAGATTCATTCATTAAAAAATCCCAAGCATCTGGACCCCTGACAACATGAAATATGAGCCATGCCTGCTGGAACATAAAGCTGGGAACCAAGCGGAATGAGGAATGCCTGAAAGACACAGGTGTGCTTAGGGGAAGACGTGATAGCAGTCTTCAAATATCTGAAGGGCTGTGACAGAGAAGATGGAACAGGCTTGTTTTCTGTTGCTCCAGAAATGGGTGGAAATTGCAAGAAAACACATTTAAGCTAAGTGCTAGGAGAAACTTCCTAAAAGTAAACGTTGCAACAGTGGAACAATTTGCCTTATGAAGTGGTAAACTCAGGTTGGATTAAATAGCTTCCAAGGTACCTTCCAACTGTATGATACTGTGAAATGTCAAAGCCGGCGTGGGATTGAGGAGGACTTCTAGCAGTCAAGGTATTAGCCCCTTGCCCTTCCCAAATCACTAGCTAAAGGATAGATGGTGCACAATGTGCAGGTTCATGCTTGAATTGCAAAGAATATAAAAAAGACTGCAGAACGTAAGATGAAATTGGGGGCAGTGGAGAGAGAAGTAAAGCATATAGTAAGTACTGTCCTGTGTCCAAGTCACACCCACCTGGATCTGCCAGGCCTTGCTGGCGTTCGTTGATTCGTGCCGCATACTGGGAATTGATTGTCTGCAGGAATTTTTCTACAGGGCAGGTGTATAGATTAGGCATGACCACACAGTTGTCCCAGAAGAGCAATACTCCCTCCTTCCATGAAGAAAACTCTACCACTGAGAGGAGAAAAAGACGACATAGACAGCTTAGACCTCTGGTTATGAGAATAACACCAGGAGGAACATTTCCCCCTGAACCAGTCTTACTCTTAGAAGCTCCACAAATGTCTCCCTTGCCCTCCCCTGCAAAGTATCCTATACAAATTTACATTGAAAGCAGCAGTCAGCAATGCTCTAAAAGTACACTCACCATATTTATGGTCAGCTGTACCCATTCCTTTGCACGATGAGCTCAAATTGCAAAGGTCTGCAGAAAGTGGCTGTGCACAACTCTGATTGGCTAGCAGCTGTAAGGTCAACATCTCCTCCCTTCCCCATTCTCAGTTTAGTTTTACAACTCTTTAAAAACTGTTCTTTTAAAGAAAGGGGTTCAGGGAATGTTACATTGAATAAAGGCAGACACAATGCTTAAAAAAAATTTTTTTAATATAAAAAACAAAGCATGGGAGAAAGGGCAAAACTAACAACTATTGGAGGTATAAATGTATCTTACAAAGACAAGGCAGCAGGAAGCCAACCTTACCCTATGGAAGAAAGACAAACAGCCTGGCTGCATGCTTTGTTGTATATTTGCAGACACCCTTTGTAGAATAACAGTTGACTCACTGTATCCTGCAAATAAGTGCCTATTCTGGCACTGATGTAGCTAACCCCAGATTCATTCCACATCTGTCCTCTTTCTTCCTTACCTTCCTCAGCAGAGCTGGCTGTCCCTGCTCGCTCCTCTGCTAAGCGGCAGACCATCTCCAGGACTTGTGCTTCCCTTGCCAGCCTGTCAAGTGCATACATTTCCCGGCAGCGGAGGGGCCCAAAAGTGCCCAGTTTCTAGGAATCAGATACACGTGGGAAAGATTCTTAGTGGAGGTGGTCAAGCTCAGCTCATACTGTGCATGGCATACGGAGAGCCCTTTTAAGGTAAGGTAGCTACTCCCTCCTGGTTAGGTATCATGTGCAAGAACAACACAGAAGGGCAGGCCTGGCATCAAAGCTGGGACTCAACAACTTGAGCGATGTCCGACTGACAGGATGGTCAGAAAAGACGAGGAGGAGGAGGAGTTCCAAGGTAAGGGCCGAGTCTCAGGTTCCCTCTAGTGGTGGGGAACCAACTCTGGATGTTGCTGGGCACCAACTCCCATCAGCCCAAGTCAACATGGCCAATGGCCAGGAATGATGGGCATTTTAGTCCATCATCATCATCTAGATTTCAGAGTCTTGGTTTCGAATGAGGAAGCCCTAAAAGGCCTGGGACCAGTGTTATCGAAGGACCTCCTTTGGTATCAACCTGCCTATATACTGAGCTAATCTAACAGGGCCTTGCTCCAGGTGTTCCTGCTGGCTGGCTATCAGAGCCTTTTCCATTGTGGAGCCCCAACCATGAAATGCTCTCCCCAAGTTTTTGCCTAGCATCTATTTCTTACATTTCTTCAAATGGCTTTGCAAAGTTTTAATTGTGGGTGGCTGTTGAGTGGTTTGTTGTTGTTTTTTAAAATCTGTTCATAGCACTGCTTTTTTAAATGTGCATTTGTATTGTATTTTTATTTCGCTTTATTCCTTATTTTGTTTTTGGTTTTTTTTAAAGCTCTTGCAAACCCTCCTGATCTTCATTTTTATGCAAGGACAGTCATCTTGCACAATGAAAGACATAGCCCATTCTTCACTGAAACCTCACTGTGAACTCACCAGCAGCAAGCGATTGCAATGGTTCAGGTGTAGGACCAAGGCCCTGTCGAGGAACTCGTTGCCAGTGCTCATGGGCTCTGAGCCACCCTCTGAGCTTAAGCACCCAGCTGTGTCTTCAGTAACAGCCTCGCTGGGTCCCGGTACCCTGCCCAGGGGTGCAGGCTGTGCACTGCTAGCCTTCCTGTGAAAAGAGCCAGCAGGGAAGATATTAGCAGGCATCCAGTCCTTTGCAAGCCCAACTTTCTTCACTCTGTCAACCCCTGAACTTTGAAATGCATTGCAAGTATGATTCGGCTTGTCCCAGCATCCACGTAACACCAAAAAGCTCCCGAACAGGTCTGAATTAGGGCTGTGATATCTACTTGATTAATTGGCAAAATCAAATATATAACAAACTTTAATCTACTGAAAAAGGTGTCTCCCCATTAATCTGGCAGAAGATTTTTCAGAAAATGAGAACATATACTTCTTGCCTCACAAACGTTTACCCAACATGCAAATTTAATGGAGTAACACAAATCAATCCATTGACTTTAAACCCTCTTCCGTTATCATATCCCTAACTGGGTTACGGATCTAGTTGAGTGAGCACTGCAACTTCGACTGCCAGTGTCTCAACAGAGCACTCCCAAACACTTTTATCCACTGGTCTACTTTTCTACAGAGAAAGAAGAGGATGGAAGAGAACAGATTCCTGCTTGCAATATCCCGGGCTGGCCGCTGAGTGGCACTGTTGCAGCACAGCCTGCTGAAATTCACCTGTCAAGCCAGGCTCATTTCCGGCAGCTGCATCGGCACTGTGGGAAAAGTCCATCTGGGTCTCTTAGCGTGCCAAGCAGAGACATTAGCCTGGAGCAAACACAGAGCCCCAGCCAGACAAGGGAGCCACTAAGAATCCAAACTATCCCTGAACTGTGGGCCTGTTTATAAAAACCAGCTATCCTGAGATAAAGACCTCTGAGCTCCCTTCAAGTTCTGGTACAGGGAGGGGATACACAAATAAACTGGAGGAGAGTCAACAGCCGTAGGCTGTTTCATCCTAACTTAAGCTGAGCATTGCCAACCGGCAGGCCAATGAATCAGTGTTATCTGGCCCAACTTTAATCAAGGTGGTTTTTTTATTAAAAAAAAAGTAGTAGTAATATTCATACAAATAAAAAAAAAGAATAGGTTTGAAAAAGCTGAATATATTTCCATTCTACATCCACACTGGACTTTCTGTACAATGCTCCTGGTTATGCCTGAATACAGAAGCTTGTTCATTATGAAGGAAAAGGCTGCAGCTCAGTTGTGGTGCACTTGAATGCAGGAGGTTCCTGAAGAACTGCTGCCAATCAGTGAAGACAATACAAAGCAAGTTGGAACAAGGGTCTGACTTTGTGTGAGGCACCTTCCAATGCTCCTACGAAGCTTTTACCATGTTAAGGGTCACCAGTGCTATCAGAGGACTTGACCGCCCATGCTGGATTTGGAGAGTGTGAGAAAATATACTTTTATGCCACAACTGGAGAAGACAGGGCCCTTTGAGAATACAGAAGCTGGTCAACCTGATTAAAGCTATGGTAAGGGTGTTATTGAGGGACGCGGGTGGCGCTGTGGGTAAAAGCCTCAGCGCCTAGGGCTTGCCGATCGAAAGGTCGGCGGTTCGAATCCCCGCGGCGGGGTGCGCTCCCGTTGCTCGGTCCCAGCGCCTGCCAACCTAGCAGTTCGAAAGCACCTCCGGGTGCAAGTAGATAAATAGGGACCGCTTACTAGCGGGAAGGTAAACGGCGTTTCCGTGTGCGGCTCTGGCTCGCCAGAGCAGCAATGTCACGCTGGCCACGTGACCCGGAAGTGTCTCCGGACAGCGCTGGCCCCCGGCCTCTAGAGTGAGATGGGCGCACAACCCTAGAGTCTGTCAAGACTGGCCCGTACGGGCAGGGGTACCTTTACCTTTACCTTTAAGGGTGTTATTTGATAGCCAGAATTTGCAGTTTGTCGTCTCATCAAAGATGGTTAAACAAAGGGGTGTTGTGGGAGAAACACTTTGTGTACTTTAGTGCCATAATAAATCTGTTAGTTTTTTAAGGTGCCTTAGTATATTTGTTGTTTTTGCTGCTACAGAGGAAGAAGGTGACCTCCCCAGAATTCCTTGTTCCTGTAAGACAGCTGCTCTTCCAGGATAACCACCTGGGACAAAATTGTAGAACCTCAGTAGTGTGAGGAAGCTCCAGGGCAGGCACATGCTAGCCAAGAATGTTAAAAGCTTGCAGGCTCCTGTTGTTCAGGAATGGGAAGCCTGTGGCCCTCCAAAGGTACTTGCATTCCAGTTTCCAAACTGCTCTGGCCAGCACAGCCAATGGTCTGGGATGATGGCAGCTGTAGTCCAGCAGGAACTGGAAGGCCACACCTTCTTCAGTTAACACCTCATCATTTTGGGATGAGGAGTTTTCTAATTTTGCTCCTTTGCATTGCAAGCCTCCAATCAGTTTTCGCTATACAACTGAATATTACTTTGTCCCCACTTCTCATACAGATCGGAATCCCAACATGCTGGGGTTCCGCTTATGCCCACTTTAACTTTTGGCAGCCTACACTGAGTTCCCTAGTAACCTGTCCCATCCTCACTCACCCGTCATCATCTGAATCTTCTGTATCAGAAGCATTGAGGAAGCTGAAACTCTCCAGAGCATGCTCTACTGTCAGGCTGGTGCTGGAGGCCCGGCTCAGGCACACACCCTGCTTTTGCTGTGGGATGAGGGGAAAGAAAACAAGTATCACTTTGTCCACTCTGGCAGCTGTTTCCTATGTCTGCCAGCAAAACACTCTGGGGCCATGAGAGCAAGCCCTGATCACCTGTGCTTCTGTGGTTGCAGCCGCTGTAGCTTCGAGAAGTGAGAAACTCTGAACAATTTCTAAGGGGAAAGTTGTAGGGAGGGACATTTTCTAATCTCATAAGTATAAAAGCATAAGAAAAATGTCAAAAGCAATATTCGGGCAATAGCTTTTATCAGAACAAGCAAAATGTCACAAAACTTGTGTGCAAGCTTTTAAGCTTTTTATCAGGCTGGATGGTAAACAAAGCTGGCTGGCCCAGTGGGGGGGGGGGAGAAAGGGAGGGGGAACTTGGCTGAGAGTGAAGCCAGGGAATCTCCATCTGATCTGTCTCAAGATGGAATGTGGAAGGAGGTGGAAGACATTCAGACTCATTTTCCTCAGGTGCCATGCAGCTTTCAGGTTGCACTTAACGATGCTGGGAAGAAGGAACATACCATATTTTTTTTGCTTCTATATGTTAAGGCAGAATTTGGCTTCTATGTGTATCTGTTTGTGGGCTGAGTGTTGGATTCTGTTAGTCAGGATGCGCCTTGGCAAGAGGGAGGATGAAAAAGGAAGGGACCCCAGACTCTAAATGTGCTTCAAAAACTGTTGTTACATTCCCGGGGGGGGGTGTTCTTGTTTTATTATACTGTATTGTAGCTCTGCTTTATATTACATTGAATTGGATTATATTACATTGTAGTTTCTCAGTTTTCTTTTTGTTATATACACATATTGCTATTTTGTTAACTGCTTATGTGCATCTGCAACATGGTGGGAACACTAGAAAGAATTTACAGTGGTCAGGGAGCAAGGCTTCAACAAATTATTCTTTTGTTCTTCCCTATGGTTGGCACAAATTATGCAAACAACAACAAGCAAATATGCACAAAGTGAGGTTTGTTTGCACAATTCACACAAGTTCCAGAATTCAGCAAAGTTTGGTTAAAACATTTTATTTCAGCTCTAAATATACACAGATCCAGGGATGCTGTCCTTCCCCCAGCCATGGTCTTCTTTACCCCCTCTCACTCACCAAGAGAATCTCCTCTAGGTGCTTGAGCTCCTGCTCCAAGGTCTGTAGCTCAGGGAACTGGCCTCGGTAGTCATCTAGAGCAGAGGCCAGTGAGTTGATGGCCTCCTCCAGCCCACAGTCCACAGGCTTGGGCTTTGGTGGCTCCAAGAGTCCCACTGGCTGAAGCTCCTTTGGGACCAGCAGGCTCAATGAAAGCTTGGGCTGTTCAACCTCTTGGGCTTGGGAGGCTGTGTCCTCACTCCCTTCTACAGTGGGAGTGGCCCCATCAGGCTCAATCTCCTGTTCTCCAGCCTCTATGATCTGAGTGTCCAGCACTGAGCCTGCACTTTGGGGCAAGGAGTTCGTTTCCAGCGGAGGCAGGTCCCTGGGACTGGAGTCTCTGGGGACAGTGCACTCCTTGTCCTCTGCCACTGGCAGGTCCACACTAGCCTCGCTGATCTGACTAAGAGTCCGAGCATAGGGCACATGTCCGTTAGCCACAGCCACCTCCTCGCGAACGGCTGGTGGCTCTTTGTCCTCAGGTTGCGTAAAGGCAATTTCTATGGCAGGCGGAGTTGCCTGTACTGCAGGTTGCACAATAGGCCTGGGCAGTGTATGGCGTGCACTTCCAGACAGCTGTGGGCTAGAGGAATCATCCGAAGACTCTGAAGAGATGGACCAGGCTGCCCCATTCTCAAGCTCCTCCTGCTGCCGCAACATGTTCTGGAAAGAATGCAGCATAGATGAGACACGAGGGATGCATTGAGCATAGTGCATGTGTGCAAGCATGGAAACATCTGTCACCGCCTACACTCCTGCATAACACCATCACTTCCTTCCACACACCCCACTCCTTTACTCTTCAGGCTCACTGAAGTTTACTTATTTGTGCCCCTTGACCCCCATGATAAGCTCCATTGTTACACCAGGCTGCAACTGAGCTCCCACTCTCTTCACTTGGCCAGCAACAGACACTTGGGAGATTGTGCCCTTTGGGTGGAAAGATGCTGGATATCAGAGAGACTGCAACTTTGGTAGGAGCAGGAAGCGCAAAATGTTGGTCATCATTTTGCGGCTCGGCTCCCCACTGGAGAAGACAGCTTGCCCAGGATGTGTGATGCTGCATCTCTTCCAGACAAAAGCAATTCTCTGCTTCAAGTCTCAACAGTCTTGGAGACAAGACTCCAGGGCAGCAGCCCAGCTACTTGTGGGCAGTTAAATCAACCTCCCTTGAAAGTGGAGTTGGATCCAGAACTGGCCAGGAGGGCCATCATTCCTAGTTGTCCTGTTCTTGGTTCACTGTGACAACTCAAGGTGCAACTCGACAAGATGGCAAGGCACCTGAGAAACATTTCAGCCCCTAACCATTTTCTAACAGGCTGCTTGGAGGGATATTGGCTTCCAGCCCTCCAGCCCAACCCTTTCTATTCAAAGCCCTTTGTGCTTCTTTACATAGCTTCCACCACTCCTCCATACATCCACCACCCATGGATAAGGGCAGGGATTGCAGCCAAGATGAGACACACGAGTGATTTGTATGTTTGCCAGGTCCCAGCACTGAGCCACATGTCACAAATCACATGAGAAATTATATGCCAATTCTCTGCTAATCTTTGTGGCAGACAAGGAGGAAATCACTGTTTACTTCAGTTAGCACCCCAGACGAAGGAATGTTGCACAATTCCCTGAAGGTTACATTTCCTCCTTTCTTGAGATACCTGCTCCAGTTTGGAAATACCACAAATTACACAGAGGAACACGGGAAGCCACCTCATGCTGAGTCAGACCACTAGTCCATCTAACTCGGTATTGTCTACACTGACTGGTAGCATCTTGCCAGGGATAAGGGACATTCCCAGCTGTACCTGGAGCTGCAAGGAATTGAACCTGGTACATTCTATGGGCAAAGCATCTGAATTACTACTGAGCTACAGCCTGTACGTACGTACACACACACACACACACACCAGCTTGGGAGGCCTAGAGCAGGGAGGGGAAACCTGTCATCCTCCACATGTTCAACTCCCATTATAATTTACCATTTGCAATGCTGGCTGCGGATGATGAGAGTTGGAGTTCATCATCATCAACTGGAAGGTCAAAGGTTCCTCAAGTCCTGGCCTACAGGGAGGCAGCTCTTCCTCAGCCACCAAATCCACCAGAAGGCAGCCACATGATGAATATGGGCAGCACATAGAAGGCTAGTATATTACAGAAGGCAAACTGGTGTGAGGAAGAAATCTACGACTACAAAAAGCAGGAGACAAAAGCCTGTATGATCCACACCCCGCCTTCAGGGGCAGCAGCAAGCAAGCACACGATTGCCACAAAACACCACAATCTGGGAAGACAGGGGAAGTCCACTGCTCACTACTGCAAAGCGGCAGAGGGACGGGCAAGATTCTGCAGTCAATCCACTTGCCTTATTCACAGCTCTGATTCAGGCCTTGAAATAGGAACCACAGACTAGCACACGGGAGACAGAGCACAGCTACATCTACATCAGGTGACTAGGCTAAGCTACAGGGCCAGCACTTACACAGCCCCGAGGTGCCCTTGTGCCGAGCTGCACTGAGGAGACGTCGCTGCATGAGCAGCTCCGCGACAGCCTCTCTAGGAAAGTCTCCCGGAAGATGTCCAACAAGGCCCACCTGTGCTTGTGGGGAGCCTCCCGTGGCAGGCTCTTGAGCGGAGAAAGAGGCAACGGCTCTTTCCATTACAACTCAGCTCAGCTCCATTACAACATGAGACTCACTTGCCTTACAGACAATCTGCTGGTGCTTCTCCCTGGCAATCAGGACCACTCTGCTTTCCATAACTGATCAATCTGCCAATGTGGGGGTACTGGTTAGAGTCTCAGACTGGGACCTGAAAGACCTGGGTTCCAATCCCCGCTCAACCATGATGCTCGATGGGTGACCTTGGGCAGATCACTGCCTCTCAGCCTAACCTGCCTCACGGGGTTCTTGTGGGGATTAAATGAGGAGGGAGAGAATGATGCACACCACCTTGAGCTCCTTGGAGGAAATGCTGGGATATACCGGTAAATGCATTTAAAAAATAAATAATAACCTGACATTTCCCCTATCAACCAGATGTTGTCCTCTCCTTTCCTGTACTAATTTCCTCAACTTCTTCAGCTCAAGACAGAGGCCTGGTTCAGATGCTAAAGTCTTGACTTGATAAACTATGGTTTCTTGGGCTGAGAACAAGTGTTGACCCCTCCACTTCTCCCACATGCCTTAATGCAATATGTTCAAAGTAGGACTTGCTCTGGAGATCTCTCCAGCTCATATAGCATTGTGGCTAAAAGTTTGAGCTGTGATCCAGGAGGCTGCTGATTTTTAGCCACATCTCAGCCACAAACTCAGTTGGTGGGACTTAGGAAAGCTACAGTTCTCCCAACTAGGACCAGGAGTGTGGGTTTTGATTCCCTTCCGGTTTCCCCCCCTTTGCACTCACATAAAAAGCCTGTTCACGCATAGATGGTGTATCAGGTGGGCTCTGGTTGTACGTGGAAAATCTCTTATTGACTGTTGATGTCTTTGTCACAGTGCTAGCAGACGATGGTTGGTCCTCTTTGTCAAAGGGGCTGGTGAAAAGAAAGCAGAATGCTCAGAGAGAAAAATGAACCACCCCTCCTGTACACTGATGTAAGAAGAGAAAGGGAGGGTCACACATTATTAAATCCTCTTGGGGAGTCACCATTCAGAGCAGCCTTCCAGAAGTTTTGGACCACAGATCGCGTTGGTCACAGTCAGCACGCTATACTTGCCATGGGCTGTTGGGAGTTGTAGTTCAAAAACACCTGGAGGGCACTAAGCTGGGGAAGGAGGATCTATAGTACCATGGTCCCAGTTCCCTCACTTATCAGGCCCCTTCCCTTCAGGTTCTGTAAGATCACAACCTTCCTCACCCAAGAGCATTTCTCACACAGCTCCACAACAGAGAAACTCAACAAGCCTCAAGAGAATAATAACTCACTTCCAATTAACCTCCAGGCTCAGCTTGATGGTGCCCAGGTCATTGATATCTACTGCCACGACCTGGGGCAGTGCTGCAAACAGGTCCTTGGTTTCACAAGAGACGTTCCCCACCACCACATGACTGGCCAAGCTCTTCAGCTCTGTTACCTGGGAGGAGAAGGAAGAGTTGAGGCCCAGTAAGCCTAGGAAATGAATTGTCTTTCCTGTGACAGGGGCCAGCTGCCCAGAGTGGCACCAGATACCTTGATGGACAGGAACTCTGTAATGAGGGGCAGGAAGATCATCTCCTCACTGTCCCACACTTGCTTGCTGTTTGCCTCAATGCGGCCCCGCAGCTTCCACCGCTGGCGCCCGTATCTCATGAAGATCTGCCACAAGGAATAAGAGAGTTCAGATCAACTGGATGTGAAACAAGGTGTGCACCCTATTAGAGCTGGACAAGAGCTATTGCAATCAGTGCTGGGGAACCAGATTCCCTTCGAACAAGCTGTTCGGTCAACTCCAGTTCATCTAGTTTCCAGGATCCAAGCCCCTCCCTCTCCACATGTTCTGAGCCCATCTCTAACTCACAAACCTCATATTGGTCTCCAGCACAGAGCCTAGCAAAGCCAGCCAATCCTGCAAGAGGAAAAAAGTGTCAATGCTTCTGTCATGACCCCACAATTTTGCTGATCCACATAAATGACAAGAGGTGTGGGATAGGGTGCAGATATACGTTTAGGAGGTAAACTTGCAGTTGGAATTTCATATATGAGATCTGGAGTAAAACATCCATAAAACATTTTATAAACATGGAGTAAAAAAGGGTTAACCCTCCCACCCACTCAGGGTTATGCCCACCCAAAGCTGCTTTTCAAGTTACAAAATGGCTACCAGACATCCCTTTGTATATGACATATTGTTTGCCCTTCTGTACCTTTCATCTTGATGTGGAACTCTCCCAACTGACTCTCTAGTTCACTCTCCAACAGACACATATTCTGGAAGGGGGAGAAACCAAACAACCTCCCATTAATGCCGCCAACACAAAGCCTGGTCCCCATTCCACCATTTCCTTCCTCCTCCCTCAGTACCAGGCCATCTTGACTCACCTCTGTGTACTCTTTGTAGCCCTTGCTAGCTTCAGCCAAGCTCTCGCGTGCCTCCTTGCTGCCAGGTGAACCAGCTGTGTAGGCCTTGACCATGTTGTGGGCTCCATCCCGAAGCCGCCGCTGGATGCAGTAGGCCTCGTAAAGCTCATCTATCTGTTAGGAAGTAAACCACAGAGGTAGGGTGAGGGGCTGCAGGGGATGCTTGGCAGAAAGTTTGGTTGCCACAAACCCAGATCAGCGGAAGCATTCAATAGGGTCTCAAATTTCAGTGGCACCCTGTGCGAACCCAAAATTTGGTGTGTCCCCCACCCACCTCCCGTCTTCCATTCAACATCAAAGTCTTAGCCGCCCCTGAGGTTCTGCGCCCAGTGTGACCGAACCAGCCACGCTTCCCTAAATCCTCCTCTGCTCCCACCATAAAGCAAAGGTGGGAAACCTGTGGCATTCCCACTGTTACTGGACTCCCATCAGGCCCAGCTAGCATGAGTAAAGGTCAGGAATGATGGGAGCTGGGACCCAGCAAAACCTAGAGGACCACAGTTTCCCCACTGCAGACATGAAGTGTTCTATGGAACACAACAGACTCTTTTGCTTGGAACGCCGGTCCCCTACATAGCTATCTGCCTCACGGCGAGACTATACAAAATGAGCAAATAGATACAAACAAACTTAAACTGCATAATATTCAAAAGTAACAGAGTTCAGCTTTTCTCAGTGCAGAAATTCTGTTTTACAAGCTAAGAAGCAGCTGGTACCTTGCTAGCGTGAAACTCCAGACGGCGCAGAAACCGCTCAATTGACTTGACTTGCTGCGAGACAATAAAAGGAAATCCCATTAGACAGGAATTGGAAATCCGACTGACTAAGTAGTACAAGGTCCCAGAAATCCTCTATGTTCCCAGCTTGCCCAAGAAAGGATTGGGGTCTTTCCATTTGCAATAGATAGTAGTATTGGTGCTTACAGGCTAAACTGATTCCTTTGCTGATCTGTTTTAGAGCAACAAGTTCCTGATATGTATCTTCATTGGCAAAAGAACAATATTTAAAGCTAGGCAGATACAGCCTAGCTCAGGTTAATCACTGGGCAATTGGCCAGGGTCCTTCCATCTGGCTGCTGTTTTATGGGCAAGAGGAAGTCATTCAGGGTTGAAGGGCAGGGGTAGGAGAAACTGGCAAAGTCGCTTTCTTTTAGGCACCAAGCAAAAAGCTGGTTGGTTTGTTCCCACTTTCAATGCTTCCCTCCTACTTTTAACATAAAGGACATCTTAAAAACATGCAACTCCTCTTCTTTTTTAAAATCCATCAAATTAGAGGCCATCACTACATCATATCAGATATGCCCATGAAAAAGAGAAGTCCAGGTCAGCAGACTGTAAATAAAAGGGAGGCCTGGAAGCGCTCATTTTCTTCTCTCATTTTTTAACTCAAAATTTCGGAACCACACATCTGCCCTCCTCTGCCTGCCCAAATGCAGCATCCTTTCACCAGGCAAAGCTGACCCCCAAAGAGAAAACTCATTTCCTGTGCTTTCTGTTGCTTAGGGCAGAGTGCAGGATGCATGCAAGTTGTAATGAGGACTAGCCCCATGGCTGTTTCCCTCCCAGTCACCACATTTAGCAAATATACTGGTTTCCTTGATGTCAAGCACTGGGAAGAAAAGAGATTAGAAACTAACTCTGAAACTTCATCATTTTGACGTTATCATTATTATTTTGAGATTTCATTATCTATTTAAAAGATAAATTAGCTACCCCTTTTCCTTATATCTCTAGCATATTTATTTTTTATTTTTGCCTTCAGTTCCTCAAGGAAACTTCTTGGAAAAGAGCAGCTTCAGTCAAGGCATGCTTGAGTTAAAACTGAAAAAACTGCCCCCTTGATTTCTTTATGTTCTCCCGGCCCCACAACCAGAAGTTACTGCTGCAGCTAATACCCAGACTAACCTCAGGCTGGAGGTAGGCAAATAGTTTTTATAAGAGAGTTGCAACTGGCTCAAGAGAGATTTCGCAAGGTATTTACCTAATGGTATTTCTTTTATTCACTTCATGTCTCACCAAACAGGTTTTGCATGTTTTTGAAACAATGCAAAGGCTTGCAAGAACTGTTTATCAGATGCAAAAGAGCAGGATAGGGTGTTTACATCCACTCTTTTGTTGATGATCCTACTCTTTTGATATGAAAGTAGCAATACCTGTCTTGGAACCACTTTCCACCCCTCTCCAAGGTGGGGAAGTTATCATCTGCTCCACTATAAACCAAAAGCAACCTCAAAGGCTGCCAGTCTGAGCAAAGGGTGCAGGAGAAACTGCTTGACTCTTTATAGCCATTGTACAAAGCTCAAAGCGGACCTCCCCAAGCTTCTTCCCCTACCCCCAGTATATCTTCCCCTGCATTTGAGAAAGCAGCTGAAGAGATCAGAAATGCAGGATTAAGCATTCCTTCCTTCCCCTCTTCTGCTTTTGATTATGACTTCCGAGGCAGCTTTTAAATTAAAGAGAAACACCAGTGAAAAGAGATGCAGAACTCCTGCGTCACATCTAGTTTGGCTCTTAAGGCAGTTGGCCAGCAAAACAAAGGATTCAGGAAGCGACATCTGAAGGAAAGCAGCAGAAGCAGCAGGAGAGAAGCATCACTGAAGTCAAGTAACTTGACTTTCTGTGCTAGCAAAGGCATAAGAGATGCAACCCAAGGCCCAGAAGCTTCAATGTCTTGCATCCAAGGGATACAGAACTCAACGGGTTGACAAGCCCTCCCCCACCCGCAATCCATGGCAAGCACAATTTCCTTCGCAGCATGCCTTACCTTATCAAGATCGTACAGAAAGCCCTAGAGGAGAAAACAAGGAGAAGGTGAAGGTTAGGCAGAGGTCAGAAAAAAATGATTGCTGAATACACAGCCCTGCTGGATTAGACCAAAGGCCTACTTAGTCCAACATCCAGTTTCCCACAGTGGCCAGCGAGATGCCTATGGTTATACCACAAGCAGAACATGAATGCAGTAGCCTTCTCCTGCTTACGATCACCAACAAGTTGTATTCAGTAGCACACTGCATCCCATATTGGGAGATAAAATCCATTCATCACAGATCAGTTGCTACTGTTATCCTTCTCCCCGATGAGGTTGTCGAACACCATTTTCAAGTTGGTGGCCAGCACCAACTGTTCCCAAAAAGCATGTACAGTATATGTGTCCCAAGAACTGTCGTCTGCCCCATAGCTCTAGGGAAGCACCCTCAGGATCAGAACTGCTGAGAGGCTACAAACATGGCAGAAGCCAATGGTGAGTGAGAGGGCAAAGGCTCCAAAACAAACAGTATCAGAAGGATCCTTCCCCTCCCTGACCTGTCACAGTCTCTCTACTATTGCCAGTCCTGCACTCTGGGGAGAATGAAGTGCATACACTGAGGGCAGGAATGCTTTTAGTTGGCACCAACCCTCCACTCACCAGTCGAGAATTCCTCTTGGACTCGCGGATTTGGATGCTCAGCTTCTCCAGCTCCAGCTGGTGCACCTCCAGATAAGCACTGTTAGGGGAGATATGGGGTAAGCAGAAGCAGCAGGACTCTTCCCCTTTAAGTAAAGAGATATGGGGAGACAGCATCCCGGCCACTCTTTCAAACTTCTACAGGATGTTATCCTTGGCAGCAAGGACCCAAACAGAATCCTTGCTTCCAGATTCCCAGTTTGGCTGTGCCCAGTTCGGCTGTGTCCAGCAGAGCTTTCGGTTCACCAGCTTCACGGAGAAGGCTACTGGTATAGACTAAGGTTTAAGTAAACATACTGTGCTACTTGCCTGCATGTACCCTCACCAACTCAAATATTTTGTGGAGAGAGGAAATATGCAGGCACGTAGTGCATTGTTGTGTGGGAAGAAATATTATACTGTATGTGTATAGAGGGAGGCGGGGCAAAAAACTATCCCACCCTCCACAGGCCAGTTTTGACAGGTGGGAGGGGTCTGAGAAAGTTGGTTGGGGCTGATGGGAGTTGTAGTACAAAACATCTGGAGGGCACTGGGCTGGCAAAGGCTGGGGCATACATATGTTAGTTATTGTTATGGTTAGTGTTTGTTATGATCACTGGGAGCTGGCACCCCACCCCTTTGAGATCTGGGTTCTATCTACCACTGTTGGGTTTGTACTGCTAGTGAGTTTGCATTCCAACATTCATTCTAGGGAGCCTCAAACATCAACATGTGATAGAAAGATGGCATTAAACAATTTTCAATGAAACAGGCACCTCCACCCCAAGCCATAGGTTAAGAGGGCGCGACTTCTGGCAGCAGCATCACTCACGTCAGTCCCTTCTTCAGTGCTTCGTACACTTCGTCGAGTCGCTCCGGCTGGGGCACCTTGGGTGGAGGGGATTTGTGGGACATTGAAAACATCCTACTGACCCTGGAGCCAGACTTCCTGGAGACCGTTGGGGTGCTGAAGGCAGGGAAATTCCTTAAAAAATAAAAATAAAAATCCTCAAGCAAAGCATGACGTGTGGAGCCGGGCTGACTCTTAAAACAATGGAGTGAGTGTACCCATGTGGGGGGGGGGGTGAGCTTTGACTCACAGTGCAGAGTACCTATCACAAAAATACATGCACTCAGGAGGAAGCTTTCCACACTACTGCTGCTGCTTAGAGCGAATGCTGAAAGCACAGAAAATGCTAAAAAACCAACCCACAGTAAAGATCATTTTCCCACGCTTTATACCCTGAAAGTGGGTCACTCGGACTGCATGAACCGGATCCCCTATTGTAATATGGACTACCAGGAACAAAAGGGGAGGGGGAGAACCACAGAGCACCAGCAACTCTGCACAGTGCCATTTGGAAGTGTACTTCTAAACCCTTTAAAGTATATGTCCAGCAGGGAACAGCATGCAGCACTTCACAAATGCTATCCTAAGGAAGATGCTCCTTACTCAAAGAGTAGTGCACATGCCTGAGTATTGTCACAACTCAGATCAGATTGTTTTGGTAGAGTCACTCAAGTATTCCATGTACCCTAGTATAGGGGTAAGGTACTTGATCTGTCCAGTGGGCCAGATCCTTATTTACCCTAGCCTAGCAGGCCAAATCTGATAGGTGAGCAGGGTGCCCCAACTGTCCAATCATCAGGACTTCAAAACAGTTACACAGGGCTAGCAAATTCTCTGAAGTGCCACTGATTGGGAGGGTTGATCAGCTGATGGGCAACAACTCCAAGCCTACTTTTTGCAGGTATCACCTGCATGATGGAGTTCTGCATGATGGAGTTCTGCATGGGGAAGTTGGTTGCACAACTGATCCAGCCACAATTCTACCTGCCCCATAACTAACATGACATATGTTGTCAGATGTGGGGAAGGAGGTCATGGTTTGAGAGAAATAGTGCATGCCAAATTGGAACCTGTGCCAGGACAAATTTGGCCCACAGGCTAAAGACTCCCCATCCTGCCCTAGTGTATAACTGAAGAATCACAATGAACCCCTGACTCTTGAATTTCATTCCCTCTTCTTTTCTCTTCCAGCTAAAATGAAACCCTGTTTTCTCTCAAACATGTGCTAAATTTGATTCTAAGCAACACTGACTAGTTTAGTGGGTATGGCTGTTACTGTTAAATTGATCCCTGCACCCCCTAGATTATTTTATTCAGGCTCCAAATTCTTGCTGCCAGATTAATATCCCATGCTATTTCGGGAGTTACTGGTCAATCTTTTATTGCTACAACAGGAGCAAGGAACCCTTAGCCACCCATATGTTGCTGGACTACAGCTTCCATCATTCCTGACCACTGACCATTATGGCTGAGGCTGATGGGATCTGGAGTCCATAAACAACCAGACAGCCACAAATTCCCCATCCTTGTGCTGCAGGAATAGTCCCAAGTCTAGAAATTGTGCATCTTGCTGGGAGATGTGTGAAATGGAGGACTGGAACTAGGAAAGATGCCTTGCTGTTAGGAAGCCTTAGACAGCTGACCATGACAGCATGTCTTCTGCAGTAACAGATAACGAGTAGGGAAGTATATGCTTATCACGTTCATGACATTTTTGCTCCTGACAGAGGTAAGAAGGAAGAATGGACAAGTGTTGAAAGCAGAGGAACATAGGAAGCTAACGTAGCAGGTCAGACCGTAAGTCTGTTTAATCTGGTACTGTCAACCCTCATCTGTGGCAGCTCTCCACAGTCTAGGCAAAAGCCTTCCACCTCACCTGCTATTTTATCCCTCCAACTGGGGATGGCAGGGATTGAACCTGGGATGTTCTGCATGCAAAGCAGATGGGGCAATAGTAAAGAATCCCAGATACAGTAGGTTGTGGGTGAAAAGCCCAGTAAACCTGGACATAAGCAGCAGCATGCTAGCAGCTGAAGACCAGCACTCATTAAGAAGTTCAGAGGAGACCAACAAAACAAAACCAGAACCCCAGAACAGGACAAACATGGCTAGTTGGAATTGGGGTGTGAAAGAGAGCCAAGCAGAATGGCCGAGGATTGGTTCTTAGCCCAACAGCTTCAAGATCCAGCATTGGCTTTTATACTAATTTTGCCTATGGCACTTAAAGGCTTACACCAGCCCCTGACTGGTACTCTTGAAAGACTTGGAGGCAGGTGAGGAGATGAACAGAGCAGGAGACTGAAGCCAACTGGGAGGCACTGGTACTGTACAACATGAAGTAATATTATCTTTCAACCAACCCAATAAGCCTCTAATATGGTAGTCCTACCTAGATCTCTGTTTTTCATGGAAATAACTTGCTACCTTACTTCTATAAGTACTAGGAAGCCTGTAGCTTCTTTTCAAAGGCTTAGGTTTTTCCATGATCCTTCACAAGCAACAGTACGGTACTTTGTAGACTCCACTCCCTTCAAGGGTAAGAAACACAAAATGACTCCAACAGCTGGAATTCTGATATCAGATCTAAACTTTCAAAACACAGCAACTGACAGAAATGAGGATTCCAAATGTCAACAGTCTCTGGGTTGAGATGGCAACCGTCGCTAAGCCAACAGGTATTGCTTCCTCACAGATGTTCCAAGCTCACCAGCAGAAACGTGAAATGTTATATCTGGAGCAATTCAGTGTTGCAAAAATGTTTGCTGATTTGAAATACTAATTTACAGAATTGTTCTACACATTGGGGAAGTGATTAAAGAAATCTGATGTTATGGATTTTGACACTCCTGTGCCTTCTGCCTCACCCTGACCTAAACCTAAATGTTGTAGCACTGCCCATGGGCGATAAGGGCACTGAGTATGGTGGGCTGATGGCACTTGTTTGCAGGCCTGCCTTCCCTCTGTTTAATTACTGCAGAAACAGGAGCATTCGCCATCAAGTGGAACTTCTGTTGCATCTAGCCTGGCTCATTTTGGTCAGTACTTCAAGAATCCAGCCTTACGTATTCAAGTTCGCCAAGGAAAAAATTATCCACTTGCCAAATGTTCCTATAGAAAGAAATAAAGGGCCTTCTAACATGTGGTCTCTGTGTCTATGTAATGGACTGGCTTGTTAGTCAGATTGCATCCTACTCTTTCCTCCCACGAGGGATTCTGCTCCCGCTCTAAACCAGTGGTAATGAAACACAGAACTGCCTTAGGAGTGCATTCATTAGATAAACAAGTTGTTTTCAAGCATTCTTAAAATGGGGCAAGTATATCAACACCTCATCACCCCACCCAACAGGCTGAAAGGTGACTATCTACAGACCTTGCGCATTTCGGTGCCATACCCAGCTTTCAGAAAATGCCACCTTTTCACATGCTAAGAAGGACTCTCCACCCAGACAGCAGATACAGCCATAGACTGACTGTATGGTGAAAAAACTATACTTCTGAAAAGCTTGGGATTCCCCAAACCCTGGTGATACCTCCCTCTTAGTGTGGGGATGCACAGCCTCAACATCAGAAATGGCTCATATGCACAGCTTGTAACTACTAGAACCTGTGTATTCAATGTAGCGGGCCCCAGCCTGTGGAACTTACTTTCAGCTGGGATGGGACATGCAGCCTTCTTGCTGATTCTCCAGTGCATGACTAAGACTTTCCTGTTCCAGCAGGTATTTTAAAGTAGTGTTCAGTTTTATGATCAATTTTTATAGTCCAATTTTCTGTGGATTTCTTTTTTATGTACACCACTTAGAAATTCAAATAATTAAGTGGTAAGTAGATGTCTTAAACAAGCAAACAAACAACATTGGGAATAATTATGTCAATTTATATAGGCAGGGGTGCTTCCTGAAGCATCTCTAGAGCAAAGGCAGTGAGCTAATACTACAAAGTAAGAAGCCAGCCACTGTTCTTGCTGAAGTAATATCCTATGTTATGAACAAAGCTGTGTGCATTTCAGCTTTGTTATTTTAAAGTAAGTATTTCATGTCCTGATGGGAATGAAGCTTAAGAACATGTGGTCAGTAGCAGTACTCAGGAGATTTGAGAGGAGGCTGAGTCCAGTTGCCAGGGGATTGGATCATTTTGCATATGCTAGCCTCCCTGTAACTAGCTGAAACAAAATACATTTTGCACAATAAATTAAAATGTATGTACAGCAGCATGACTCTCAGTCCTGGGTGGGATGGGAAGGCAATTAGCCATTTAAGCATCACACACCACCATTCACTTTGTTCTCCGCATGCTCCAACTCCCATTTCCACCAAGGAAGCTTTTTCTGGGCCTACCTGAAAGATTTGTCCTGAGTGGAGTTGACGCCAGCGAACGATTGGCTCCTATTGATCCTGACCACCAGGCTGCGCCGCTGGGGCCGCACTGAGAGTGACATTGTCGAGCTCCACCTGGAGGGACGCCCTGCGGAGATAACAGAAGAGCATGGCATCAATGACAAAGTGGGGGAGCAAAAGGAACCATGTCAGGGAGCAATGTACAGGGAGAGGAGAGGGAGGAGGAAATCAAAGCTGCAGGAGGTGGAATGATGATGGGAAAAGCGCTTTTTAAATGTAACCAGAACAACCACTGAGTCATAAGTTTATAAAAAGCGACACCCCTAATTACAATGATACACAAAAACAATAGACTTAGCTGAGCTACAACATCTCAGAAAATGAAGAGAAGGATCAAAGTTATGGTCCAGTAAGGAAGGCTCATAACCCAGCTGCCTTGCAAAGGGCTCCTGTGTAGCTCATTCCTCAACCTCCATTTGCTAAAACACAACCTGGAATATCAAACACACAAATCTGCCTTGTACCAAGTCAGACACATAGTTATGATTTTATTATGACAGGCAATGGCTAAGGCCTGATATCTACTGCATTCCTTTAAACTGGAGCTGCTGGCAATCTCTTGCTCTTCCACCAAGTACAGCAACACCAGGTTAGTACAGTGGGGGGTGATGTACTTGGAAGTCAGTCCACTGTTTTTGGAAGCAGTAGGACCTTGCCTATACCACTTCTCCACTCACAACAGCTGCCGAGTCAATTGACACCCCCACACCCTCCCCCCAAGTCAGGGCTGAAGAACCTGCAAGCCTCCAGATGTTGCTGGACAATTCGCATCATCACTGACCATGTTGTCTGGGGTCGACGGGAGCTGGAGTCCAACAACATGTGAAGGGCCACAGGTTCCCCATCCCTGCCCCAAGTGCTATTCCACTCGACAAATCTACCATGGGAATAAACAGACAAGACTGCCTTCCCTCTGTTCTAGATCCTTCAGACCAGGTCTTATTTTTGAGAGGAGGCATTGTCCCATATCAAACACTGAGTAGAGGGCAAAAGTCAAGGTGTTGCCCTATTGTCCAAGTGCTGGAAGCAACAGTCTCTCCAGAATTGGCTGTCTAAGTGTCCTTCCTTCACTCGCTTGCTGTTTACAGGAGAACTAATACAGTTGTACAAAAGGGCCATGCTTGATTTTTAAGGCAGAGGTGAGAAAACTCTGGCCTGTGGGCCAAATAGGGCCTCTTAGGCTTGTCAAGCCCCACAGTGGAATGCCCTATGCCCTTGAGTGCTTTTATCTGGCTGGAATGTGTACTTGAACTGTGATAATACCTCTGGCCTGCCTGGATTCTGGATGGAGATGTGTTTCATGTGTTTGGGGATGAATATGTAGAAACCTCTGGCTTTTTTGGTAGCTGAAATGCAACTTGCTGTACAAAGGTAAGAGTCACATCCTTTGTTCCACCAACTTTCCCCACCAGCACGTGGCCCCCAGAAGTTCACCCATGGTGGAATGTGGCCCTCAGGCTAAACAAAGTTCCTCACTTCCGAGAAGAAACCCATCTCTTGTTGCAACTGTTCACCTTAGGGATTTTTAGTGGAGCTTTGTAAATCAATTACAAATGTCACCAGCCTACCTATTCACATATGTTAATCATTTGTGGCTTAGTGAAAGAGCCTGAAAGGCAAAAAAAAAAAAAAAAAAAAAAAGTCAGGGGAGGAAATACACAGAACTGCCCCACACTCCAGCTGGCTATTTTCTGTACACAACAGCCTTTAGAAATCACCAATCAACCTTCTTTTCTGCACATTTATTTAAATATTTATAAACCACATTCTTAGCCAAAGGTGGCACCCCAAATTATGCCAAGTTCCAGAGGGTGAGCTGTGTGTGCTGCAGAAAACACACAGTCTTGTCACACCTTGAAGGACTGGCATATTTATATAAACCAAGATCTGCCAAGATTGGAGAGCCCACAATATCCAATTTCATAGCTTGTTGAGGACAAGAGGCAATGGTCCCTTGTCTCCTGACCCTCAGGGAACTATTTCTAGTGTCTGGAATGAAACTAAACAGAATGCTTTGGAATGTCATTTGCTTAGGTAGGAGTGGCTCAGGTTTAAGACCATTAACTCAGATTTTCAAGAATTTACCAATAGGAGGGGGGGGAGACCTGAGGATAGAGCTATGTATTTGGACCTGGAGAAGTTCAAATCTCAACACAGGCTTGGATCTCATAGAACAACACCACCATTAGAGAGTAAAAACATACACATGTACTTCTATGTAGCAGGCACCCACATACACTTACTTCCTTTGGAAAAGAGCTGCAATATAATAAAAGGGGACTGGAGTACCATTGGACTGAAATTCAGAGTTGCGTCCCTAGCCAGTTTGACTTGCAAATTTCCAATTCTTCTCCATCCACTGATTTTTAGCATGTTGTTGTGCTGTTTTCTATAGACTAGAAATATAAATCTTCGTTGACTTTTGATTTCTTCTAGGGAGAATTATTAAAATGTTCTTGCTAGGAGCAAGAAACTATCATGGCCTGAGATGAGGGCACCAATTCACCTTGTCCAGTGATTCTTAGGACAAACTGGCCACAGCCCTAATGGCTTTTAGGTTGAGCAACAAAAATGCTTATTTTCCACTTGGCTCTTGCCTTTATTGAGACTGAAGGTTTTGATTCATTCTTCCTACTTTTTAAATGTCATGTTTAACATTCAGTTTTAATTCTGTTATTGTTTAAACCGGTATTTTCTTTTCTTGCAAACTGCTAGGGTGTGTGTGTGTGCTAGGGCTGAAAACTGGTATAAAAGTGTTTTTTATAAATAAAGTAAACATGTATCACAACACATTTCTCTGGGAACCAAACTGAGCCTGGTTCTCCTCAGACCCTTGCAATGTGACCATTTTTTTGCTCTCAGTTCTCATGGCGCATTGTGCAGATCTATGGCAAGGGTGGGGAAAACTTTTCAGCCTGAGGACTACGTTCCCTTCTAAGCAGCCTTACAGAAACCACATGCCAATGGTGGGCAGGGACAGAGGCGGAGGTGGTGGGGCCAATGAATGTTAACTTTTACCTTTGTACAGTAAGCTAGTTTCCACACACACACTGACGCACAGTTCTCTATCATCCGTCCAGGCAAGCAGGAGTCATGAGAGTGCAAGGATGCATTCCAGCAGACCTTAGGTTTCCCACCCCTGATCTGTGCCTTTGACACAGCTGCCCTCCAGCCCTGGCAGGCATCACCCTCCACATCACAAGGGAGGGACTACAGTGATACCTAAGGTTAAGAACTTAATTCGTTCTAGAGGTCCGTTCTTAATCTGAAACTGTTCTTAACACTTTAGCTAATGGGGCTTCCCACTGCCGCCGCTGCACAATTTCTGTTCTCATCCTGAAGCAAAGTTCTTAACACGAGGTACCATTTCTGGGTTAGCGGAGTCTATAACCTGAAGCATCTGTAACCTGAGGTACCACTGTACTTATACCCTACAGCAGAGCTTTCGAAACTGTGTCATGACACGTTAGTGTGTCGGCTGCAGTGTGTAGGTGTATTGTGCGAATGCTCCCCGCGCTCTTCCCAGGGCTGCAAAGAGGTTAGTTTAACCTCTGGTTTGCTAGTAAAACTGAATTACTGTGTTGCAAAATGATGCATGTTTAAAAAGTGTGTCACCAACATGATAAGTTTGGAAAGCTCTGCCCTACAGAGTCTGCCAGGCAGTCTCTCAGTTCACACTGTCAAGTTATTCTAGGCCCAAAGGATCTCAGAAGAACTCAGTGCGCTTCGGATGCTAGCTGCTTGACCAAGCGATTGCCACCAACTTGCAGGCAGAGTCAAGGAGTCGTCAGGGCCTAAACACAAGCCTCTGGCTTTGGGATCTCCTTCTAAAGAGGCCAAGACTAGCACCAGCATTGTACTCTTTTCAGTGCCAGATTAATATATTTTTTTAACTGTCCAGTCTTTAAAAATTTTACAGTATGGTTTTAGGTGGCTGAATACTTCTTTGGTTACAACCTCTGTTGTTTTATTATACTGCTCTGATTTTTAGTGTTTATGTTTAATACTGTAGTAATATTTGCCGTTTTTATGTAAATGTTTCTGGAATCCATGTCTGGGTGAAGCTGCAGTTTAGACATAATGAATGAATGAATGAATGAATGTCCTTTACACAGAAAGGGATGAATCAACCATTGAGGCCTGTCTCAACACAAGAGGAGCACATGTCAAGCTCCAGCCCAAGAAACATCTCCTTTCCCTTACACGGTTTGACAGGAGACAACTTGGACCTGTCAACACAGGCAGTAGTATGAGATGGTATAGCTGACTGTACCAATTTAGAATCAAGATGGAGTATATTACACTCCCCAAATAAAAACCCACCCTTCAAAGAGAGGTGAGGAGGAACCTAGCACAGCAAGAAGAAAAGATTCTTGCCCTATCAGCAAGCTGTTATACAGGCAGCAAGCATTTTGTGTGGGGTTCCTTTCCTAGCACCCATGCATGCATAAGCCTGCCCTGTTACTCCCTGTTCTTCAGGATGAGAACAGAAATTGCGCAGCGGCAGCAGCGGGAGGCCCCATCAGCTAAAGTGGTACCTCAGGTTAAGAACGGACCTCCAGAACGAATTAAGTTCTTAACCCGAGGTACCACATTTCTATCCCAACCATCACACAAGGTTGAATATATGCTATGTGTTCGCATCTTCTCATTTTGTGCTCACAACAGAATGGTGAGGTAAGTAAGCAGAGATTTTGACTCAGTCAGCCAGTGAGCTTCATGGATGATTTCAGCCCAGGTCTACCCAGTCCAACGGTGTACGCAATGCAATCGCAGTCCTTCAAACCAGATATGTCCTTAACAACCTCTCTCTTGAGGACAAATGTGAAGGAATCACAGCTGCTCATGATTTCCTCAGAGCACCCTTTCCAACATGGGTTGGAACATTAAGAGCTGGAGCTTACACTAAAAGTCTGAGACATGACATGGCAGGAGAAGGAAGAGGCCAAACCTTCTCTGGGGGAAGGTAATGAGTGTGCTGTTTGCCCGAATTGGATAGCTGTCAGAGAAAACATTCCCACCACCTCTAAAGACAGATCCTCTCACTCTGTGCAGAGAACTCAGACC